AAAAAAAAAAAAAAAAAAAAAGAAAGGAAAAAGATAGTAGGAAATTCAGGAAGTATCTGTCAAAAGAATAACAGAATTCACTGTTCACTGCTTCCCTTGCAAAGCCTCCTCCCTCACTTGCTTCTGTTCAGATAGCCTGTCTCCAATCCTGGCAGGGTACTCAACCTGGAGTATATCACCAGGAGTCTCCATCATCTATATACACTGAAGGTGTAGCTCAGGTGTAGAGTATATGTAGCAGTGCTTAGTACATAATGTGTCCAAGGCCCTGGCTTCGATCCCCAGAATGAAAATAAATACATAAATTTTAAAATAAAAAGAATTAGCTGGCTGTGGTGGCAAATGCTGCAATCCCAGTTACTCAGAAATCTGAGACAGGAGGACCCAAAGTTCAAAGCCAGCCCAGGCAACTTGACAAGACTCTGTTTCTAAATAAAAAGGGGCTAGGGGGCCGGGGATTTAGCTCAGTGGTTTCGCTGCCTGCTGCGCAAGCCCAAGGACTGGAGTTCGATCCCTGGTACCAAAACAAACAAACAAAATAAAAAGGGTCTAGGGATGTGGCTCACTGCTCTCTGCATTAAATCCCCAGTACCACATACCTACACACAAAAAAGAATTAGTGGGAGGTGAAGGAGAGAAAAGGAATCATCCAGGAAACTTGTTAACACAGACCCCGGCACCCTTTTTAGAAATTTCGATAAACAGATAAGAGATGGAGCTTAAGAATTGACATTTCTAACAAGTTGCATGTGATACAAGGGGTGGTGAGGATTCACGTTCACAGACCATTCTTTGAGAAGTGCTAGTCTTCATACTATCTTCCCTTCACCCCACCAACCTCAGACCTTACAACCTAAATTAGTTCCAAGTGAATGATTCCTTCTTTTCTTTTTTCTTGGTACCGGGGATGGAACTTGGGACCTTGCACTTTTGAGGCAGGTGGGGGAACCACTGAGCTAAATACTCGGCCCCCCTTTTCTTCATTAATCCAAACTGGTTTCCCTGGTAGACACCATACCAGGTGCCAGATATACCAGAAATAAAATAAGTTTAGAATAATAATCAGGGTTTATATTGCAGGAATCCATTTTTCTGCATCTTATCAGTTCAAACCAATGGCATTTGTGTTAATCATTATACAAGTCATTGGATTATTCTATCCAAAAGTGTTATATACTCCACTCTCAACATACCTATTTCTCGAGCAAGAATAACACTGCTGAGGCATACTGGCTGCGTAGATTCAGCAATGAGTACGGCTCTTTGAGAACATAAGGTGCCATTTTCATATAAAGGCTCAACAGTAACTACATCATCATGGGTGGAATGCCTGGCAGAACAAAATACTTGATATTATGAAATACATGGGTTACAGTTACCCTGGCTGAAAGATATTTCTATACTTTTTCCATGTCACATACTAACAGGTATAAATGACACTCTTTAAAGTCAGAACATTGCTTAGGAACACAATTAAAATGGGAGACTGATCAGAACCTTTTCTCAATAATCTCTTATGCAAAATCTTAAATGTGTTACAAGGGCCAGGGATTTAGCTCAGTGGTGCTGCTGCCTGCCTCACAAGCCCAAGGTCCCGAGTTTGATCCCTAGTACCAAAAAAAAAAAGTGTTTCACTTCTCCCTCAATTTAAAATATAGTTACATTCCTCTCTTCATATGTAAAAATAAGATTCAAATGGTGTTTCCAATGAGACAGGACTTTCTCATACTCTGAAAATGATTTCCTCTAATCTTAGAAACTATGGGGCTGGAGATTTAGCTCAGTAGTTCTGCTGCCTGCCTCAAAAGTGCAAGGACCCGAGTTTAATCCCAGGTATCAAAAAAATAAAAAAAATAATAATAATCTTAGAAACTAGGCTGTTCTCTAAGATGAAAAAGTTACTTAAGAAGTATGAGTCCAACTCAAATTACCAAAAGAATTCATTAATAGTTTTGGATAGGTGGAAGGAATAGCGTTCAGTACTAGAGATTCCTTGCATCATCCTGTAAATCGGGAAATACATCACACTAGCTCATTTTACAAGCCTAATTCCCTTATACTTCCTCATAAAAGATGTACTTCTCATACTGGTAAACCTTATTGGTTTTTTATTTTTTTGAGACAGGGTCTCATTGCGTGGTCCAGGCCGGCCTTGAACTCACTATACAGCCCAGGGTGGCCTTGAACTCAAGGGGACCCTCTTGCCTCAGCCTCCCAAGTCCTGGGATTACAGGTGTGCACCACCATGCCCAGATGCGGTTTTTTTATTAAGTTTATTGGTACGTTTTAGGTGTACATTTTGACATCACTGAGAATTTGTACCTGTACATGATATATACTGGTTCTTTTTTCCCCATTCCCTTTCCCTCCCTATTTACCACAAAACTGTTTCCATTTTTCCCTTCTTTTCCTTCTTTTCTCATATTTTTTTCTTACCCTGAAGAGATAATAAACACCTGTAATCCCACCACTATGATAAGATGAGGTAGGAGGATGCTAAGTTTGAACTATCTTGGGTAACTTCGACCTGTCTCAAAATCAAAAATAATAAAAAGGGCTAGGAATGTAGCTCAGTGTGAAGGCCCTGGACTCACTCCCAGCACTGGAGAGACACAGAGAGACAGAGAGAGAGAGACACACAGACACAGAGAGAAATAGCCATAGAGATATAGACAGACACTCAGCATTTTGGAACTCCTTTAGCTTGAGTTCCAGGCCTAGGTAAGGACATAACCTATCAGTGGGTCCTCTCACACCAGGAAACCATGTCTTTCCATCTTCAGTCAGGGCCACCCGGCCCCGTCCTCACAGCTTAGCCGAATTCCCTTGTACAAAGGGGACTTTTGTATCGGAAACATCTCCACCAAAGGTGAATCTTCTCGTGTTCCAAGACGTTTACACTTCATAGCCTCTGAGCCTGTTCCCGCATGAGTTAGGAGAGGAATGGTACTTACCCCACAAGACTGTAAAACGTAAACGAGCTAATACCTGCAAGGTGCTAGTACGTACTCACTAACCAGCTGTCAGGGGCAGTGGGGACCCCGTCTCCCTGCTCCCCAGGCTGTGCGGACTCTGCACCAGCGCAGCCTCCTCACAGGGCTCCCCGCCCTGGCAGCCGTTGGGTCGGCCCAACACCACGGCGAGGAGCGCCTCCCTCGGGGCCCTCAGGACCTGCACTGGCACGGCCCGCCCTCCCGGCCGCCGAGGCCCACGCCGCCCTCACCAGGCCCGGCCGCCCTCACCAGGCGTAGCAGCCCCGCTCGGCCTCCAGCAGGAAGAGCGCGGGGCCTGGCTCCTGGCCGAAGGGCAGCAACACCTGCGGAACGTTAAGCTTGTTGGCCCGAGTGCCAAGCAAACACGGCAGGAGCCACAGGAGACCCGGTACAGGCGAGCAGAACGAGCGTCGAGGCCCCAGGGCCTCAGCGTGGGCCATGGCGACGGCCGACTCGGCTGGGCCACAGCCACGCCCGGGCGCCAAAACGGGCCAATCCACAGGCACAAGGCCACAGGAGGCGGGGCCCGCACCCTGAATTGTGGGAATTCTTCTAGGGCAATCCTTGGGCAAGTTACAGCAAACTACCTATTCTCTTTGAGTCCATCCTGGCCTTGAATTCAATACATAGCTCAGGTTGGCCTCAAATGAGCAGCAATCCTCCTGCCTCAGCCTCCCGAGTGCTGGGATTGCAGGCGTGTGCCATCTCGGCCCTACTTACTCATTTTAAAGGGTTACTTTCAGACGGGGGATTTAGCTCAATGGGGCTGCCGCCTATATCGAAAGCGCTGAGTTCTGCGTTCAATCCCCAGTACAATAAATAAATAAATGGCTACTTTCCTAAACATTAAGTGGAAGTTTTGTTCTTTTTAAAAAATAAGAACCAAGCAGGACAAAACACCTGAAAAACAAAAACCCAGAAATTCTCTCAGCTTCACTTGACTTTTTTCCCCTCCTTGGTACCAGGGATCAAACTCAGGACCTTGCACTTTCGAGGCAGGTGTGGTGACACTGAGCTAAATCCCCAGCCCTCTCTCAGCTTCAAATCGTTGTCTACAGTCTGGCTTTTAGATTAAAAGACAACATACTTGGGGGGGGGCAGTAATTTGCATCAGCATTGGTCTGTGCCTATAAAGGGGAAAGTTCCCAGTTTCTAAACAACTGGACTTTGTCAAGAGCTCAGTAATTTTCACTAGGAAATCAGATTCCTGTCCTGCTCCAGAGTTGAGTTATATACGCTTATACTAATGATTTACCATTAGGACATAAACAAGTAGGAATGTAAGAACTGGGTTTTGAACCTAGTTTTGGTCTGCTTCCAAAGTGTATGCTATACATTAAATCCTATTGCCATCTACAAAGATCTGAAACTTCTGTAACTCTTGTGGAGAAAGCATATTTGGTTTGATTATAAATAAATCAAGTAGATCTGAGGTTTAGAGGGACTGGTTCTTTATTTCAAAAAGACACTTGGCAATAATATTCAGTATCAAAACAGTTGCACTTCTGGTCCTTCTTTCTCCTGACTGGCCCTAAAGAGAGACCACAACAAAGGAGCATACATTTTAAGCCAATAAGCTGCAGGATGTACACCCAACAGACCTCACAGAAACCTCACCTAAAGTGGGTGTGGAAAAAACTTCAAAACATTAGCACACTGACAGCCCACAGACTCTAGCAACTCTCACAGCCAGGTGGGGTAGCTGTGCACTCCAACCCTAAAGCAAAATTTCAAAATAATATAAAATTTAAAAAGTTTTGTACATAAGCTATTCAAGATTTCTCCAGCACTGACTGATACAAAGCACAATGAGATGGCACTTTCAGAGACAGCAGCTTCAGACTCAGAAGAGGGTGAGATGAATTTCATATGGCTGAATCTGTGGCAAAAACATCATTTTTCTATTCTTTCAAGGAGGCAGGAGAGCAATTAATTGGTCACCTCAAGATTAAGGGAGGGACACACGATCCGATCAGTGAGCAGCTGAGAAGGGGTAGAAATTGGACAAAAATTTGGTCTCAGGGATGGGTACGGGCTCAGTGGAAGAGCTCCTGCCAACATCCACAAGGCCCTCTGTGGTTCAGTCCCCAACATCACACACAAAAAAAGTCTCAGAGGTCTCACCATCTTAATTTGCTCACTTCTGATGAAAAAAGTATCAAATAGGGCCGGGGAGGTAGCTCAGTGGCACTGTGCCTGCCTCGCAAGCGCAAGGTCCCACATTCGATCCCCGGTACCAAAAAAAAAAAAAAAAGTAACAAATGAAAATACAGTTGTCCAAAGATACCTTAAAGCTCAAAACCTGAGCAGTGCGGTTTTTGTTTCTGGCTAACTCCTCCTGAGACCACCTTCCTGGTTTGGCTGGTGCTTGGGGCAGAGCAGAGGTTTCCTACAGTGGAGTCTTTCCCTGGGCTGTTCGGCTCTTGGTGAGGCAGCTGCCCATACTTCTTTCCCTCTTCTGTAGAGGGCACTATGAATTAGGCTGAGTTACCTTCCAAAGTGAGAAAGGAATCAGACTGCTGCTTTGAAGCTGTGGATTATTTGGAATGTTTTACAAATGGTTGTTACAACAAAAAAAGTTATTACAAATGTGCACATCACAACATGCTTTTAAAGATGCTTCCCACTGTGCTCACATTCCCTTGAATCTTGTTCCCAAAGGTGCTCAGCCTCTAGCCCAGCCAGAAGCTCTGAGAAGAGGCAGAGACAGTTTGATGAAAGACAAGGTGCACGAGGTGAGGTGAGGTGGGGTGGGGTGGGGAGAGAGGACATAGAAAGGAGAAAGCAGCCTTCCAGTTAAAGATCAGCCCTCAGTTTCGAGGTCAGCCTCGGGCAGGCTGGCCCCAGGCGGTGTCAGGTCAGAGGGAGGAGCAGCGGCAGGGCGGGACTGGGGAGCTCTACATCTCATTCAGGTCGAGCAGAGTCTGGTCCAGCATCCTTTGTGTACAGAGGTGCTCCTCTTTGGTGCATTTCAGCTTATCTAATGGGAGTAAAGGAGAGAAGTTACAAAAAGTAAGTTTCAAGGACTCCCCACTCTGAGACTTGCTCTTGTTGCAGCAGAACTGCAGACTAACAAAGCAACTGCCTTCGAGAGCACAGAACTGAGGTTCTGCCAGGCCTCTGGCTTGACTACTGAAGTTGCAGAGTCACTGCACCTCCTGCAGGAGGGAGCTGAGGACCTCATCAACCACTTCCTCTCCCTCCCACACCCAGCCTAGGCTCCAGCTTTCAGTCACTAAGAGAGCAGGCCTGAGGCATCGGCCATTCACTCTGCTAGGCTCTGGTCCCAGGGCAGGACCTACTTGTGGCGCCTCACTGGCCACTGCAAGCAACGACGGGTGGATTCTCAACTCGAAAAGAGAACAGGAAGAGCCTCATGCACTCACTACATGCTTTCTCCAAAAAGCAGAGGGCAAAGGACTAATCAGTCGGATAAACATGAGCCCTCACGGCTAAGCCAAAGAATCTCTAAAAGCAAAGCCAAGAATACTACCAAACATATATACTTGTAAACCAAACTTAGAGATTTTTTTTCAGAGCCATTAACCAGAGCGAGCCTGTGACAGTTACTTGCAACTAAACATAAAATCAAGAAGAGAGAAAATATCAGGATGAAACCAGTGCTGAACATCAAGAAACATCTGCGGTGCTTAGCAAGCCAACCACTGGCTGCTCTAGGGGAGGAGGAAAATACTTAAATCTTCAACTTAGAAGAGGTGTAGGCAACACAGACCCACATTCATACCCCGCTCCCTTCTCTCCCTTCCCCTTTTCTCCTCCCAGTCAGAAGGCCCATCCCTGGGCCTGAAGATAAAGCAGGTACAACATATTATCAAGTCAGTCTTTTTATTGTTAGAAAAACATCCATGCAAGAGATCATATCCTATAGTCAGTGCACAAGTGAAAAGGTGGAAAACAGAGAATTCTCCCAAGCTTTCTCATTGCAACCTCTCGGGCCCCTTCCTTTGTCACCCATAATCTCTGATAGAGGGATAGAAATGCAGTATTTAACTGTTTCAACTTTACAGAGCTATTAGGAAATCAATAGTATTCTAACTGCTTCAAGTAAAAACTTGTTTAGGGCAAAATAATAACTTTGGAAAAGACAATCAGCTTTTGCTGGGGTCCAGGTCAGAGGTGTGAGCAGTGAGCTCGGTTTACTGGGCATCAGGGAGCCCTGCCCATCAGTCACACAGATCATGCAGCGTTAGCTTCAGCTCATTAGAAAGCAGGCGGTTTCGCTCAAGCTGGCTGTAGAGACGCTCTGCAGCAGAACGGAGAGGAGGGAAAACAAGAGGAGAGGAGAAAGAGGAGGAGAAAGAGAAAAAGGAAAGGTTAGTAGAGTGCTGGAAGTAAACCTCAGACTTTCAACTAGCTAGTATAAATACCATGCATCTGGAAGGCAGGATGGATGCAGGGGCTCAGACAGAGGGCAGCAAGGGCCAGGCAGTTGGTGGAAAGACCAACAGAGGAGCAAAATAAGAAATTCGGTCTGCTAAGTTGATAGGATAACATTTTGAGGAAGGAAAAACACCTCCTTTCACAGTATTTCTTCCCTGGGCTGAGAAACTGAGACATGTAAAGCAGACCAAAGGGGAGATACAGTGGCTTGGGAGAAATCCACTCACAATTAGGTTTGGAAAGAACTCAACAGTTGAACATCTTTCTGTAAAAGCATTCAATGCCAAGCATTATTATGCTAAGGAGATCAGGATAAACATCTCCACCAAGTGGTTTTCTTTCTCTCTTTTCTGTTTTTTTTTTGAGACAAGGTCTTGCTGTGTAGTCCAGCCCAGCCTTGAACTATGAAGGTCAGGTTGGCCTCAAACTCATGGCAATCCTCCTGCCCCAGCCTCCGGAGTAATGGAATTTCAGGCATACACCACCATGCCTGGCTAAATGCTACACTTTCAAATCTTTCTCATTGGAGGCACTGTGTGATAGATCTATCCAAGAGGCCTATCCAACCCATATCCAATTTCCATCTCTTTTCTAAAAGAACCCCAAATCTGTGAGGGTCAGCGGTGTGCCCAGTCCAAGGGAAGGTCCATTGCTGGTTCAAGCCAACCAAGACTATCCTGGGCCCCCCAACCGCCTTTGCAGGTGGGGATGATCACATGATCTAGGCTGACCAATGAGGGGAAAGTGTGCAGGGGGTTTGGGGGAAAATATTAGCTTTCCTTCTTGCCCCAAACATGGCTGTGATAACTAGAGCTGCATATTTCAACCATAAGAGAAAAGGCTAAGAGAATCAAAGAAATCATGGCTAGACTCATCAGGCAATATAAGTCCCATATTTATTTAAGCTACCGTTAAGCTTTTTCTCATATCCCAATACAAGCAGTTTAGTGCTCCACTCCCCTGGCTTCACCTGGGTTTTCTGCCGGGAGTACACTGTTAGGGTTAAGTGAGGTCCAGGGAACTCAGACCCATCTCAGCAGCACAGGGATGACAGGGTCTGGGACAAGAAAGCCAAACTCATTTCTGGGTCCACTCCTAGTAGCAGTGTCTGAAGTTAAAAAATAAAATTTTCTTGGGGCCGGGGATTTAGCGCAGTGGTTTCACCGCCTGCTGCACAAGTGCAAGGACCCGAGTTCGATCCCCAGTACTAAATAAATAAATAAGTAAATAAAATTTTCTTGTCTCAATAGCTTGGTCTCAAAATGGTCTCAGAAACTCAACACGAAAAAGATACATTTCTGTCCTAAAACCAGCTACATCTGTGGGCACTGCTCCAAACTGGGGTTTCTCCTAGTAACACCACAAAGCTGGGAGCCATTAAGGTGCCAACAATACTTGTTGCTTCATGCATAAAATCAAAACAGCAACCACAGCTGGGTGTAGAGGTCCACCCTGGAATCCCAGCACTCTGGGAGGCGGAGGCAAGAAGAGCACAAGTGTGAGCCCAGCCTGGGCAGTTTGACAAGGTCTTGCCTCAAACTGAGAGAAAAGGGCTGGGGCACGGTTCACCGCGAAGGCCCTAGGTCCAATCCCCAGCTCCCCAGTGCTGCAAAACCACAAACCAACCAAACCCAGAAAGCGTGTATATAAAAACCTGGGGCCGAGATGTGGCTCAGTGGTGCTGCTGCCTGCCTCACAAGCTCAAGGTCCCGAGTTCCATCCCCATGCCAAATAAATAAATAAGTAAATAAAAACAGCCTGGGAGAGAATGTTCAAATGTAACACCTGTAATCTTCAAGACAAGGTCTTGCTATGTAGCCCAGGCTGGCCTTGTGCTCACAGTGATCCTGCCTCAGGCTCCAAGTTCAAGGATCACAGGTGGGCACTCCCCCACCCATCTTAGCTGTACTCAAGAGTAGAAATCAGGACAAACTTTTTTGGGCATTCAACCAGTGAGCCCCATCCCTGCCCCTAGGACTAACTTTTGAAATTACACTTCCCATTAACTCAATGGCTTTGTTTTGTTTTTGTTTTGAGACAAGGTCTGGCTATGTAACCTAGACTGGCCTAGAATTTACCCTCCTCGGGGCCGGAGATTTAGCGCAGTGGTTTCACCGCCTGCTGTGCAAGTGCAAGGACCAAAGTTCGATCCCTGGTACCAAAAAAAAAAAAAGAATTTCACCCTCCTCTGCCTCAGCCTCCCTAGTGATGGTATTTGTTTTATAAAGAGACAGAATCCATTGTTGTCCAAGCTGGCCCCACCTCTTAAGCCTCCAACTCAGCCTCCTAAGTAGCAGGCACTACAGGTGCACTCAACCTGGCTAAACCAGTGTCCCCACCCCACCTTTTCAGTGTTGGGGACCAAATCTAGGCCCTCACACTTTCACAGAGCTACATCCCTAAGCCTTTTTAATAAATAAATTTTTTTGGTAGGTACCCGGGATCGAACTCAGGGCCTTGCGCTTATGAGGCAGGCGCGGTGCACTGAGCTAAATCCCCGGCCCACCTTTTTTAAAATTTTAAGACAGGGTCTTGCCAAGTTACCTAGGCTGGCCTAGAGCTTGCACTCCTCCTGCCTCAGCCTCCTGGGCAGCTGGGATTACAGGCCTGCACCACTCACTGGGCACCACTGTGTCCAGTTATACAGGGAGATCTTGACTGTCAAAAGCTCTATAAATATTTATTAACCAAGGGACAGCAATATGCAGGGTTGTTCTGTAAGACCAAGAACTATCCTACCCCTAAACGACCTAAGGCCACCACTGAGAGACCCAATGGAATCTACGAGCTCTGAAAGGCTTGGGGCTGGGCTGTCCTCTTTCCAGGGCGTTCAGACCTGGGACTCTCAGCTCTCAACCCTGATGCTTCATTCTGCGCCCCTCTCACCTATGTCCAAGTTAGTCTGTGTGATTACCACTCTGTCTTGGGAAAGAAGGACACTATCAGGGCTAAAACAGGCTGGTCAATGAGGGCTTTTTTTCATTTAGGGAAGCAATAAAAAGGCAGAGAGGAGGGGCTGGGAATTTTGGCTCAGTGGTTTCACCACCTGCTTCACAAGTGCAAGGTCCTGAGATCGATCCCTGGTACCAAAAAAAAAAAAAATAGCAGAGAGGAGTGGGAGCATTTTACTGCCTGACTAAATAAATCCTGGAACGTAGGCTTCCCTAAAAATTGCACAAGGTTGCAAAGACCAGTGTGGCTGCTTTCTCAACTTTAACTTGGTTTCTAACTCTGCTGTCTCTAATGATACAGTATTACCTCATTGAAGTTCTAGGTTTCCTGATAATAACAGAACAAGGCAGAGAACCCACTGGGTCCAAATGTTCTTTTTAGTCATGTCCAATTAATGACAGAACAATTCCAAGAGCAGGGATCTGACCAAGGCAAGGTAAATGGAAGAACCTGGGGTAGGCTACGCTAAGGCTGCCCAACACCATGGGTCAAGTGACCTCCCCACATCTGTAACACAAACATCTTCCCAGTCTCAAATCCAGTCACTTGAAGTGCCCATCTTTGGTGTACTTCCCTACCACTGTTTTGGTTCAGACCTTCATCACTCTCCCCTAGAAAACTGTACTAACTAACCCAGTATTTCCCAATGGGACATAGGCTGCTAGTGCACACATGCAGAGGTGTGTGTGTGTGGCCCACAGGACAGTGTGTGTGTAGGTGGCATAATCAGGGAAGTTAAAAAAACAGGAGCCAGGGATGTGGCTCAATGGAAGAGCACTTGCCTAGCATGTCCACGGTCCTGGGCTCAATCCCCAGTACTGCAAAAATAAATACATTTTAACATACATTAAGAAAAACACCTGCACTTCAGTGAGACCCTGTCTCAAAAAACAACAAAAAAAGAGATTTGATGAAAACAGTATTGTGGGCAGCAAGTAAATATGGCAAACATGGCTAAAAATGGATGGCCTGTGGCTGGAACTTGGGAGTCATCATGTTTGCCCATCACTTTGCTAATGTGCTACCTTTCTGATACAATCTCAACTTAGCCACCAGATTCCCACTTCTGTCGTACTCACATCATGACGCACGCCTGTTTCAAACTTCCCAGTGGCATGGACATCACTTACCAAATGAAATTAAAACCAACTGGCCTGATATTAGAACACACCCTGCCCCGACCTCTCAATCTACCCTTCCCGCTCCCATTAATTCCTTTATTATTTTTTCTCTTTAATAAAAGAATGCTCAATATCTACTATTTCTCAACTGAATTCTGCTCATCAAAAACCCAATCTTTTGAAACCCAAGAAAATGAAGAGGCAAGTTGTTTTTGTTTTGTTTTGTTTGGGGACAGCATTGAGGATTGAATTCAGTACTGAGGGGCTCACACATTCCAGGCAAGTGTTTTCTCACTGAACTGCATCCCTAGCCCGTTATTTCATTATGAGACAGGCTTCACTAAATTGCCCAGGCTGGCCTTGAATTTTGAATCCTACCGCCTCGGCTTCCTAAGCAGCTAGGAAGGACATGTTTATTGAGTGTCTTCTTTCATGAGTCTTTCCTAGTCATTCCCACTGGACTCTCCCTCCTGAACTTCCATATGCTCTATTGTCTGTAGCACTCACCACACACGAGCTTTAGCTCTGTGCATGCTCTTCTCTTATTAGATTCTGAGCAAATGGGAGGGATGGAGCCTCCATCTTTGTTTCTGTTCCCATGTTAACACTCTACATTTAGAAAACACCAATATATTGTATATCAGCTCAATAAAATCAATCTGTACCTTAATCTCGAAAGCTATGTGGGTGGAAGAAATGGTATTGGTAGAAAGGTATCTGAATTTGATATGAGATTTAGTTTCAGATTAGGGAAAACTTCTATTTGGGGTATCTATCTAAAAGGAAAGCGCGAATACTTAGATTAGTACAACTGGCAGCTATGCTTTCCAGAACGAACTATCTCCACCTCGTAAGTTAGAATAGGAGTTTCTTTTTTCCTTTTCTGTGGTACTAGGGATTGGATCCAGGGTCTTCACACTAACCTAAGTCCCCCCTCCACTTTTTATTTTTAGGGACAGGGTTTGGTAAAGTTGCTGAATGGCCAGGCTGGGCTGAAACTTACAAGGCCCCACCTCAGCCTCCCTCCCAGGTCACAGGTGTGCAGCACCACAGTGCCACACACACCACCAGTTTGGAACACGACTTTCTAGAATGTTGATATAGAATTCCAAAATATGAGCTGCACTTGTTTTTTGGTACTGGGGATCAAACTCAGGACCCTTGTGCTTTTGAGGCAGGCGCAGTGCCACTGAGCTAATCCCCAGCCCCCTATAATTCCAAAATATTAACCAGAGGTAATTTTATTAGTAATTTATGTATATAATAAACCATTACCCGCATGAGCATATTATTTGAAATATATAAGATCGATGTAGTTTTTCCAGTAAGTAATTTATCATTTGTCTCATGTCCCACCAGCACGTGCTAGCTGAAAAATGATGGCAAGCCTCAAATTTGTAAGAGTGGTTTAAAGAAAATACAAAACTGTTGAGAATTCTATTCACTGTTTTTCTGAGACTTGGGATGACACAGTTGGTCAGTTTTGTTTTTGTTTTTTGGTACTGGGTATCAAACTCGGGACCTTGCAAGGCAGACACCGGAACCACCCTGGCCCTACAGTTGGTCAGTTTTAACAGTGATGAACATAGGTCTGCTCAGTGTTCGGAGAACGGATTATCTGAATACCTGGTATTGAGAGTCACTTCAATGGTCTCCCAACCTGACTGTATCAGAGGAGCACCTGAAGAGAGAATGTGAACACTCCAGGGAGAAGCTTTAAGAGCCTGGTAGTGGAGGACGTTTCATCTCTGGAATTCCTACTCCAAAGGGTCTCTACTGGTCTAGCGCTCTGACAGACTCCACTCAGCCAAGCTTAACAAACTTATTTTTTTACTGATACCTGGGGGTTGGAACCCAGGGCCTTGAATAACGTAAACAGCTGCTCTACCACTGAACTATGGAGCCCCCTACCTCCCGCCAAGCCCCACCCAAGTTTAAATGTCAAGAAAAAAAAACCAGACAGACACAAAGTGGCTTGATTATACATAAGTTAGGGAGGGGGACCTACGATAGCTGTTCTCCACATCACTCGCCCAAGGGTCCTTCTTAGGGACAGCAACAGCTTTGTCAATGACACAGATGCAGGGTGGTACAGGGCTTCCGGCAGCTTAGCATTTTAATGTGGGTGGAGATGGAAAAGAAGACATAAGTTGCTTTGTGACCCCATCCTAATGCCTTGGGGACCACCAAACGGAATCCAGAGCGAGCGGGGCACTGGGTTCCCCGAGGAAAGGGGCAGATCCAGAACAGAGCAGAAATGGTGACAGTTATCTGCATGAAAAAGTAAGGATACTCCAGGTGAGGACCAGCATCAGTCTTGAGGGCAGGCAATGTGGGAGAAAGGAAGAGGGAAAAAGTGGTAGCAGGAATAATGAAAAAGAGAGCCAGACACTGTAGCCTGCAATATTTGGCTTCTTTTCAGGGTTAGTGGGAAGAAGAGGTGGATTAGCATCAAGGATCAGTGATCCACAGCAAACAAATGAAGTCTCTAACCACTTTTTTTTGGTGCTGTTTACAACTTGGCTTGCCTCTGGGACTTAGCTTGATTTATTTCCCATCTTGGGTGTTTCCTCTGAATGGTACAAATCAAATACACCCAAAGGGTCTGAATTTCGTTATGATGTGTTAGGGCCCAAGTCACTCACTCTATGGCCCCATTTTCTTAGTTGTATGGATTCTCCATTTATCAGTGTCCCTTGTGAGAAACACTTGAGAAGCAAATAAGAAAGGTCATAATGTGAAGTCTAAAAATGTAAAGTATAAAAATTATTTGCAGGTCAGGGATCTACCACTCATCCAAGATTGAATGCTTCATCAGCTTTTGCCAAACAAGTAACCAGCACCAATGTTTTAAAAATAAGAGTAAAGATTCTAGTTTCCAAAGAACAAAACCAAAGCACATTATGCACAGCCTGTACCCCCACCCACCCCAAGCCAAGAGCCCAGCCCCACTCTGCTGTCAGATAGTTACATAGAAGTCATGTCATTGAGGGCGTGGTCCAGCTCCTCGCTAATGGCCTTGTACTTCAGTTTCTGGGCATAGAGCTCATCTGGACAGGCACAGGAACCACAGGGAGGAATGAGGGGGTCAGAGTGAAAGGTATCAGAAGCAGATGAAGAGAGGGAATCATTAGAAATCAGAAAATGTGTGACCATGTGTTTAAACACCAGAAAATGTCTATTCTGGCAGCCAGAATAGATCCACTGTCCCCTAGGACCAAGTGCAATTCATGATGCCGCTAATTAACTGCAGCAAGAGTTGAGAACCTAGGCACAACCTTGTTACTAGAGGCATATACAAGAGCACCACTCTAACCTAGTTAATCCAGTTCCTACCAGAGACAACAATTCAACAAAAAATAGAAAAAAGGAGAGCGTACGCACCCATAGGACACCCCTGTGTCTAAGTGTGACCACTATGGTTGGCCCCTTTGCACTACAGGGTGCCTCTCCGCAATCTGTCCCAGAACATCCTGCTGCCAAGAGCATACCAAAGGAGCATACCTCAGAACTCCCAAAGCAAAAAACATCTTTCCTGGTCAAGGCGGAAGCAGGCGCCAGACTGCAGGGACAGGATGTCCAGAGCACCCGCCACTGGTCAGCTGTGGGCCATGGTAATGCCACAGCTCCTCTCCTGGAGATGTGCCCTAACCTGAGGGGTGGGCAGGACTGCCAAAAGCAGCCACGGGTGACAACATGTGTCCTTGTTCCCTTCTGAAAACATGGCTTCCATTTCAACACACAGACTAAAGACTTAGGACTACTAAACTGGAGCCAAGTGCAGCCAGCCATTACCAATCTCCTCAAAGAGAAGAGGCAGGTTCCAGAAGTACTAGGTAAAGTCTACTAAAATCCAGCTCTAGGGCTGGATGCACTTTGCCAGATTGTGGCACAGGGTAGGACAGCACACATGCCAAGGCACCCTCAGTTCCCTTTGGTGTACAGGGAAAAGGTATCACGGTCCAAGGGCATGTACTTCTCAATCTGAACCCTCTCCCAGGCTCTGTACCTTCCAAGTCATCAATTGTCTTTTCCAGTTTGGCTACTGATCTCTCAGCAAACTCAGCACGCGTCTCTGCCTGGGGAAAACACAAAGTCAGTCAGAAGGAAAGAAGACGCAGAGGACAGGGCTCTCTCTTCCTCTTCCTACTTCTAGACCCGCAGAACCAAAGCCAGCCAGGCTAAATCCACCCGAATGCCTTGCATGTCTCTCAGGGCTTGGGTCTCTTTCTATAATCCCCTCAGCTCACCTCCTTGAGTTTATCAGTCAGAATCTTTATCTCTTCCTCATATTTGTCTTCTTTTTGAGAGTACTGTAAGAGAGGTAGAAAAAAACTTTGGGAGCAGAAAGTGGTCCCAGACAGTACCCCTCCCTATGTTCCCTCTCACACTGGTTATCCTCTTGGATTTAATGTGCTGAATGATCCAAAAGTAAGAGCAAGTCTCTCATCTGCACAACAGGTCCTTGATCCACCTATTTCTCTAGAGCCATCATGTCCTCAGGATACTCCTCCAGAACACTTTCTGTTTTTGAGACAGGGTCTTACTATGTAGCCTAGGCTAGCCTTGAACTTTCATCGATTCTCCTGCCTCAGCCTCCTAGGTGCTGGAATCACAGGTATGTGCCACCACACCCAGCTCCAGAATCTTCATTTTTAAAATGGACCTAAAGGTTAATGTTATTCTTAATAACCTAGGAAGGCATTTTCCTTCCTCCTGCTTACTGAGCAGGGATAGTGACAGCCCATGTCCATAGCACTTAAACACCCCTCCAATGTATAGAAATCATCTGTCTTGGTGCTCATTAGGTCTGAGAGAGCAGCCATCTGTTGGCCCCGTCTGGCTGCTAGACACCAGTTAGGGCCCGAGGTAACTGCCTTTCAGCACAGCCCTATTGGCCCAAGGAGCTCGACTCCTGGCACTTGAGACTATTTAACGAAGGCTATCAGAGTACACAGGGATTGGCATTCACCCCGGAATCTGGATGGACAGTGATTGGGCAGGGAGAAGACGCCATTCTCACTGGACTCAGGGAACATGTGTCTCCGGCCTTCCATCCCGGGCAGGGCGGGGCCCAGGCCCAAAGCCTGTCGCCTTCACAAACCAGCCCCTACCTTCTCCGCCTGAGCCTCAAGAGACTTGAGGTTGTTGGTGACATTCTTCAGCTCCTCCTCCAGCTCAGAACACTTACTGTGAACATTTTAAATACCGAAGAAGAGGAAAGGGGAAGAGGAAGAGAATAAAAAAAGGGAGAGAGACACACAGAGGTGAATTGAACCTGTATGTAGAGTTGGAGGCACATTGGGGAAGAGAAGGCCCTCGGTAACCTGAGCAAGCATCGCCCTCCTCCCTCTACCAGGGAATGTGTCCTGAGCTGGGGACTCGGGCTCAGGAGGCCTGGATGCTGATAAAGAAAAGGCACTAAGAGAAACCGCTCCCCAGAGTACGTCCTAACTGCTACCTGGGGCGGAGGAGGGAAGGAGTGCTCAACCCACAGCCCCCAACCACCCAGGGGAAGGAGAGACCCTGAGGAGAGGCAGGGAAGCAACAAGGAAGAAGTCGTGAAAGAGCAAGTAAGGAAAGAATGGAGCATTCCATGAGGAGATGAGAGAGCACTCAGCAAGACACCTGGTGGAGGGGAGGCGGCTGCAAAACGGACAAAACTGAACAGAACCACACCACACAGGAAACCTCCCTGCGGGTTAGGGTTAGTACCTTTTCTTCAGCAGCACTCAGACACTTCAGGTTCTGGTCCATCAGTCTGATCTGCTCATCCATCTCCCGGCAACGGCTGTTAGTGACAGTCACGGGGATGGCGCAGGCCAGGTTGTGGGGAGGGATAAAGGTCAAAGAGGAACACAGCAAGGAACAAGCAGCATAATGGGAAAAAAATTTTACATGGGCAGAAAACACCACCATGGTCATGGGATGTCATGTTCGGGGAGGGGAATGGAGGGAAGCACAAATGTGTACGTATCAGCGGTCACTTTGTTACACAAGGCCAGGCGGGGAGCAGCTACAGTCTGTTCTTCCTGAAGTTCCCCAGCACACCAGATCTCAAGTCAGTAAAGGCACTTCCACGCCTCAAGGAGAAACCTGTTTACCATCTATTCATCTTTATATTCCCTCACTTTGTAAACCATCCCAAGAGAAAATAGCAAGCCTCAGTTGTCATCTGTTACTCGTTAAGCCATTCTTAGAACCCCAAAGAAGCACTACAGATGACACCCACCGCCAGGCCCTGTTCAACAAGGTTGAAGGAATGCTAGTTCATTCACGTTAGTGACCAAGCCGAAGGGAAAGGGACAGAAAGGTCTGACCAGGTTTGGGGACCAAAATACTCACGACTCTGCCAGCTCAGCTCTTTCCTCGGTGCGTTCCAAGTCTCCTTCAATAATCACCAACTTTCGAGCCACCTACAGGAAAAGACCAGGTGCACCTCAGAGAGGAAGGAGCCGAGCCAGCTGAGGCCTGGGCCGCTGACCACAGGACAACCCAGGGAGGCTTACCTCTTCATACTTCCTATCCGCCTCTTCTGCAATATGTTTAGCTTCTTTAAGTTGGATTTCCTGGAGTTCCATCTTTTCTTCATCTTTCAGGGCCCGGTTTTCAATAACCTTCATGCCTCTGCCAGAAACAGGATGAATTCAGCATGGACACTCTAAGGAGCCTGTCATCAGCTCCATTCCAAGACACTCAGAATTTCATCTCTGAAAGCCTATTTCTCTGTCACTCAAATGGAATTCCACAGTACCACTCACAAAGCCTTTTCTTCTAAAAATAACCCATGTTCATTAAGAAATCAAATATTTATGCTGGGTGTGGTGGCATACGCCTGTATTCCTGGCACTCAGGAGGCCAAAGCAGGAGGATCGCTCTGAGTTCGAGGCTGGCCTGAACTACATAGTGAGACCGTGTCTCAAAAGGGAAAGCAAGAAAGCAAGAAAGCAAGAAAGCAAGAAAGAAACAGAGAGAGAGAGAGAGAGACAGAGACAGACAGAGAGAGAGAGAAAGAGAGAAGGAAAGAAAGAAAATATTTAAGTGTTATTGTCTAAGAGTATAAAGTTAAAACTAAGTCTCTCTCCCCATTTCTAGTCCTGCCCATCAGAGATAACCTTTTGATATTCTTTCCAAAAATGTTTTATACCGTGGCTATATGTAAAAAACTGCTATTTTCCTCACTTTCTCTAACTGGTCTCTACTCTGTAGCAGTACACACACAGCTGTCTCACTCACCAAATGCACAGCTACCCCATGCTAACAGAGCTCTAACAGGGCTTTGTTTTTTTGATGCAGGGTCTTGCTATGTAGCCCAGGCTGGCCTTGAACCCAACAGAGATCCTCCCACCTCAGTCTCCTGAGTGCTGGGATCACAAGTGCATGCCACCATGCCCAGCTCTAGTAGGGCTTATTAAAATTCTGAAAGCCCAAATTCAAGCTGTTGTGAATGTCTGTCCTGGTTTACCTCACATGTGACAAGGAACTAATCAGCAGTTTTCACAAAGATGGGCTGAGATTTGTTTCTCAGTATTCTACTTGAATGGGGTGGGATCTGAGCTCCACCCCCTTCACCCCCTTGGTTCTAACAGTGCAGCAGACAGGATCCAGAGGAAATACGTCACTGGGCTCCCCTCTCCAGACTTTGTGATTCAGTGAGTCAGAAGCAGAAGCTGAGAATGTGAATTTTCAGCCCATTTCCCAGTGCTGCTGATACTTTTAGACTGGGACCTCACTTTGAGAATATGTTTGACAGGAATTAACCTCATAAATGGAAGCACATGGCTCATGAGGTGGAAGCCAGACTGCTGACGCATTCTAAGGAAGATCCTGTAAACTGAGAAACAGATATGGGGCTGGGAGCACTTGCACAGCATGAATGAAGTCCTGGGTTCAATCTCGAGCAGCAAACAACCACCAAATAGGGAGGGAAGATCCTGGCAGGAGCTTTTTTCTTTTACAGTACTGGGGTCTGAATTCAGACCTTGCACATTCTAGGCAAGCACTCTATCACAGAGCTGTATCCTCAGTCCATGAACAACTTTTTTTTTCAAGTAACAAGGTTTTACATTTATTAAAGGTATAAAAATAAAAGAAAGTTGCTCTGCAGAGCCAGTTCAGGCCAACGAAAAGGAAAAGTGAACTCTGCAGGGTGAGAGGGGACCACTGTGAGACAGCAGTGGGCAGAACTGCTGAAGTCCATACTTCCACAGGCCTGTAATCCCACTACTAGGGAAGCTGAAGTAGAAGGACTGAAAATTCAAGGTCAACTTGGGCAACTTATCAAGACTGTGTCTCAAAAAATTAAAAACTAAAAAGGGTTGGGGGGCCAGGTGTGGTGGTGGGGACCTGCAATGCCAGCGCGTGGGAGCTCAAGGCCAACCTGGGCTACACAGTGAATCCAAGGCCAGTCTGAAGTGCACAGCGCGACCCTGTCTCAGGGGGGCCCTGGGGGCGTGGCGGTCTCCCCAGCGCCCTCGAGGCCCCAGCTCCACCCCCAGGACCAGGCCTAGGCACCCGCTCGCCAAGCTCCCCTGCAGACCTCTCACTCTCATCGGCAGCCTTCTCAGCTTCCTCCAGCTTCTGCAGGGCAGTGGCCAGGCGCTCCTGTGCACGGTCCAGCTCCTCCTCAACCAGCTGGATCCTGCGGTTCAAGGAGGCCACCTCCGCCTCCGCCTGCATTGGGAAGAAGGCAGAGGCGTAGAGCGCACAGCGCCGACAGTGAGACAGCGCTGACTGCCGACGGGGAGGAGGACAGTCTCGCACAGCAGAATGGCGCACTTAGCTTAGCTGTGCCAGGGTCCAGCAGACGTCACTTCACACGTACGTCAACAAGCTCGGTCATGTTCCACAGGAAGAGTGTTCTAAAATCCAGTTTCTTGGGCTGGGGATCTAGCTCAATGGTACCCCACCTGCCTCCCAAGCACCAAGGCCCTGAGTTCGATCCCCGATACAAAAAAAAAAAAATCCAGTTTCTTAAAAACAAAATAAAATTCAGTTTCTTGTCCAGATCAGTGACAGTGCCATTCCCTTCTGGACCTGGCTCAAATACCTGAACACACGGGGTCGCAGAACACAGCTGGAGGTAGGTGTGCTCTGCCTGACAGCTGTGTCTCATGCTCAGCAACTTTTTTATAAGTCTCAGTAAATGGAAAAATAAGTACACAAGGCTGTTTAACTCAAGTTGTTAACTCTCGATCGCCTTACCTGCTACATCAGGGAGATGACTAGCCCCAGGAAATGTCTCCGGAACAGACTTCCAGACTGGAGGCAAAAGAGTGAAACATATCCTACCCTGCCAGTATGCTCTCGCTCCTTTGAGGTGATAAGGAAAGAAGAGCTCCTCTGACTAAAATCATGTTTTGATGACATTACGATGCAGGAAGAGAGAAAGGGAGAGGAAGGAAGGGAGGGAAAATGTTTCCACGCTTCCCACCACCACCCTCCAAGTTTCTGAACGTCTCCTTTTTCCTTCTCAAGTCATCCTCTTCGCTTCACTCTCCAGTACAGCTCACAACTTTCTCCCCCTGCCTTCATCCCGTAACAAGGCAGAAGCTTGAGTCTAAGCAGCCCAGTGGACTGGCTGTGGAATGAGAAACAAGGAAAGGAGGAAGCAGTTTGCGTGTAGTAGAAAGGCCTCCTTCCTGTGACTACCTTAACCACACAAGAATTTACACCAGCACACCACCCAGTTCAGATGCTTATCCAAGTGCCTGGTAAACAGGATCTCTCCGCTATAGCCCAGATTTCGCCTGAATTCCATTACCCTGATTTTCCTCTTAGCAGGCAGGGTGGTGGCAGCCATAGAAATCTGGGCCATCAGCCCTATAGGGAGGGATATAGCCCAAAAAACTCCTGTTAACTCTCAGGATTTGAACAAAAATTTCCACATATACAGGAGGCTCAAGGAACTGGGAAGAGGGACAGGGAGTTGGAGCTATAATCTAACCAGGCTACAGGAAAAGAAAAGCCAAGTAGTCTACATAAGCTGGAATTACTAAGAAACGATTTGTGTTCCTAACTATACTATTCAAAACATCACAAAGAGAAGTATTCTCTGCGTGTGTCTCTTCCAGGAAAACAGATGTCCAGAAAATAACAGATTTCTTCTTTTTTTTTTTTTCTTCAGATTTCTTCTTATAAATTCAATGAGGCCAATCAGTCAAGAGCAAGGCAGGCCATCAGGAACTCTGAAACACTGGCAGTACAATACAATGATTTACCCTCTTTCAGATGCCTAAAATGAAAATGAAAAATGCAACTAAATTTGGAGGACACTCATGAAATGTAAGGCTCTATCCAGCTCAGTAGTTACCCAAACTGAAGATAACAGGCTCTGGGGGTGGGGGTGCAGTTCCCATGACAACAAGCTGGCTCGGCAGTTTCTCCCACAAACCAGCATTTACAGTAGAATTCTCTGCAAAGCTGAAGCGGGAGAACAAGAGCATGAGCACAAGAACAAGCCCCTACCAAAAGCAGAATCCAACATAAGACCCTACAGAAGCTTCCCAGAGAGGGGTGGAAGGCGTCCATCTTTGGACACAGCAAGTCAGTTCTCTTTACAAAGACTAGAAAGTCTGCAGGATCAAGATCTGATACTTTGTTAAAGGACTAAGAAAGACAACCTGACTTTAACTCCACCCAGGGCCTGTGCACCATGCCTAGCCCTTGTGGGTCAGCAAGAAGTACCATGCAGATCAACAGGCTACCTGTGCAGGCCAGCCTGGGCCTGGACTTCTAGAGTCGCCCAGGTTTAGCGTGCCTGTCCAGATGTGGTTTGGGTCCTTCAGCCTGCCCCCTTCTGCCTAGCCTAGACAGTCTGACTACCTTGCCTCTGGTAATAATAGGGTTCTCCACTGCTTGGGCATGGAGGTGGCAGTGAATGCAGCAGCAATGGGGCCAAGTAACCATGGCTGACAGCAGCCTCAGCTTGAGTCTGGGTTAAATGCACCATCCTCCATGGAGTCCCAAGCACTACACCATACCCTCACGGCAAGAGACACTGACAGGACACTGGTGCTCTGAAACAACAAGGCCAAGGACAGAGGGGATAAGACGAAATCTGGCCCTCAGCCATGTGGGGTTTCTCCTGTTAGATAAAAGCCACAGATGGAATTCAGAGGAAAGAGAGTATACCAGCAGTGAGGCTTGAGCGTGGCGTGAGGGCCTGCCGGAGTTGGCGGCAGTCACAAGTCGGCCTCCCCCGTCCAGGGAGCTAGACCCCGAGGCCCTAGGGAACTGAAGTTTCACCAAAGGGAGCGAGCAGGGCAGTCGCCCGCCTGAGTAAACAAAGGTGGGGCCTAGGAGGGCACTGGGGCAAAGGGCTTCGTGCCGCTCCCCTGTGAGCTGTGCTGCAGCATGAGGACCCTGGAAAGGTGATGAGGACTTGAGCACACCAGACCCCACCACAGGAGAGAGCCACACCACAGGTGTCCCCCTCAGAGTCCAGGAATTAATACGGGTTAAGGCCACAATGCAAACTGTTATTCAGAGCCACTCACACTCAGGAGTACTCCTAAGCTTTGAGAGGGAGCAAAAGAAAAAAATAGCAGAGAAGTTAAGAGACAGGTATGGGGAGGAGGTGGTAAGCTGAACTGTTTGTACACTTAAGAATGGTTACAAAGCCAGGCATGGTGGTGTACACCTGTAATTCCAGCACTCTGGGAGGCTGAAGCAGGAGGATCTCAAGTTCCAGCCCAGCCTGGACAATTAAATGAGATTTTATGGGCTGGGGATTTGGCTCAGTGGTTCCGCCGCCTGCCTCACAAGCGCACGGTCCTGAGTTCGATCCCCAGGACAAAAAAAAAAAAAATTAAAAAAAAAATACATGAGACTTTATATATGTAGCTCAACGCCTACACTAAGTTCAATCTCTAGTACCACACACACACACACACACACACACACACACACACACACACACACAGAAGTTCAATGGTTAGCCCAATGGTAGTGCATGCATATAGTCCCAAGTACATATTTGGGAGGCTAAGGCAGGAAGATCACTGGAGCCCTGGAGTCAAGGCCAACCTGATCCTATCTCAAAAAAAAAAAAAGGTTACAACAGTAAATTTTAGGTTATATATATTTTTGCCACCACCACCAAAAGAAAATTAAGAAATGACTGCATTTAAATTTTACGTTGTCACCTATTTAAGTTTAATAGGTATACAAAGGAAACTCAAAACTGAAAGTGGAGGGCCAGGGATTTAGATCAGTGGTTTTGCCACCTGCTGCACAAGCGCAAGGTTCGATCCCTGGTACCAAACAAACAAAACAACCTGAAAGTGGATTTGGCAAGGTGCTACATTATAAAAGGTCAATCTCAGGCCAAGAGCAGTAAAGAACAACTGACTTCAAAACTTCAGTGTTGGACAGGTATGGTGGTCCACCCCTGAAATCCCAGCACTTGGCTGAGGCAGGAGGATCAATCACCATGAGTTCGAGGCCAGTCTGGGCTTGTAAGTTTGAGGCCAGCCTGAAATACAAAGTGAGACCCTGTCTCAAAAAAAACAAAACTTAGTGTTTCAGCTTTAGTCTCCTCCACAAGAGCACCTTGGATGATCATACAAAGGAATAGTAATAAAAAAAAAAAACAGTAAGAATTAACAGTCCCACAAATAGCATAGGATATGACCAAAGTGTGCTGTGCATCCAGATCCAGAGGAGGAAAGATCTGGCAAAACCTACATTCCAGAAAGCCCTAAGCAAATAGCAGCTCCACCAAGCAGCCCCTCCCTTCCCACACAGGTGTCTTCTCCTCAGTAAGGGTTCAAAATTTACTAGAGCAAAAAGTCAAAAGATTAGGCTCTGTCAGGCTAGGGAACAGAAGATACTGGTTTCACCTATATTTAACTATCACTCTACTTCCCCTTCTGAAGACTTCCTCACTAGACCCCAGCTCAATAAGCAAATTTGGTAGGAAGGACTGACTTGAAAAACATGTGAAGCTGGGTGTGGTTTTGGACGCCTGTAATCCCAGCACTCGCCTGTAATCCCAGCACTCGGAAGAAAGAGGCAGGAGGACCAAGGCCAGCCTGGGCTACACAGTGAGTTCAGGGCCAGCCTGAACTACAAAGGGAGACCCTGGGTGTGGTTTTGGACGCCTGTAATCCCAGCACTCAGAAGAAAGAGGCAGGAGGATCAAGGCCAGCCTGGGCTACACAGTGAGTTCAGGGCCAGCCTGAACTACAAAGGGAGACCCTGTCTCAAAAAACTGAAAAAGAAAAAGACGTGAAACTGCTTACTCTATCACCCTAGAGTCACCAAAAGATGGGAAAAACGAAGCCAACTGTTCCTACAAGGAAAATTACCACATCCTGGGATGGACACACAGGTCATCTACCCTGGAACTACTGTTCGGACCCCATATTTAAATGTGCAGCCTAAGATTCTGCAGCTCAACACACCACCAGTTCCTTCTGCAACATTTCGTCTTCCCCTTTAAGGCTATCTGGTCTCCAGGACAAAGGAGACGAGAAAATGTCACTAGTCATGAAGCGTCCCACTTGAACTTATAATCACAAGTTACTAGCAAACGGAACAGAGGAGAGCTCCACCTAGAAAATGATGACCCAGCCACGCTTGGGGGCGCACACCTGTGTGCCCAGCACAAGGAAGCTGAGGCAGAACTACAAGCTTGAGGCCAGTGTGGGCTACGTAATGACACTGCCTCAAAACAAAAGTGACGGAGGAAGACAGTAAGTTCTACCATCTCCGTGCCCAGTTATAATAGCACTCTAACAAACACTGAGGATTACGCTGGAGGACACCTGTACCTTTCCTACCCTTTTCCAAACTCCACTCCCTTCCCACTAAAAACATTCCCATTCACTCTCCGGAGGAGTGGCAAAGAGATAATAATAAAAATCGGGCCAGGGATTTAACTCAGTGGCACCGCACCTGCCTTGCAAGCTCATGGTCCAGAGTTCGAACCCTAGTACCGCAAACAAATAAATAAATAAGAAAAATAAAACTTACCAAGAGAAAAAAAACACAACACCAATAAATCACAAGAGTTCTGTCACCACGTCTTCAAATGTGAGCAATGGTTACTTTAGTCTTAAAATCCTCCAAAACCCAACGCCTCAACTCAGGAGATCCGCTCACTAAAACTGGTCAACCCTTCTAAACAAAAAGTGGTTTCAAGAAATCTCAAGAATCACTACTATTCATCCCATCGGGTGAACAAGTACCGATCTTTAAAAAAAAAAAAAAATGATACTGTACTAAGCAACTGGGAAAGGAGCAAAAGACCATCACTAGATTCATGCAGAACTCGTTATTCCGTTTCTGCCCACAGCACGTCGCCCAGGTCAACCAGAAACCTTGAGACGGGCGCCGCACTGACTCTCGGCAGCACACTCCCTTATCAACTCTGCTCGGAGAAATGTCTCTCAACGAGTTCGGCTGGCACTGATCAACTCTTGCAACAAACGTCTGCATGGGGCAGAAGTTCCTCCCTTCCAGGTCATCGTGGCAGGGCCAGGCAAGTTAGGTCGGATCCTACATTTGCACTAATGGAGGCAGAGCAGTACCATGTACCCCCTCCTGGTTCACGCCGCTCGAGTGTGGGTACAACAGCTACAAGAACTCCCGTCCGTCCGTAAGAGAAAAGGGCCCCGGCCGGAGGATGGGAGGCGGTGCTGTGGCCTCCAGCTCCACCAGGGAGGGAGGGCACCGCGCTTCCTCCCGGCCGACTGCTGCCTCATTTCCTGAGGAGGAGGGAGCGGAAAAGCTGCCAGCGGGCCAAGTCGGGGGGCTATTCGGCGGTCCCCACCCTCCAGCCCTCAGCCTCGCACAGGAGGCTGTTAGGGCCTCTGCCCCGCCCAGACCGCAGGAGCACCCCCAACATACGCTCAGCCTGGGGTCGGAAACCTCACCCAGAGCCAGCCCGCACCGCCAGGGGCCGTGGGGGAGGGCGGCGCGGAGCCCCTCCCCGGCCGCGCCCGACGCCAGGGGCCGAATGAATGAGCCGGAGTAAAGAAAAGCCTCCGGCCGCGGCGCAGAGCCTCCGCAGGTCAAGCCGAGCTCTCGCCCGCGGGGATCCGAACCCCACCCACCCCAGGGCCCAGCCTCGTCTCCCGCCCTGCCAGCTCCACGGCGGAGCCCGTTCGGCGCCGGTCGCTCCCCCGCGCGCCTCGCCCTCCTACCTGTTCCCGAGCCCGCCTTTCTCCCTCCACCTCCCGCTGGAGGCGTTCGGCCCTCTCCTCTGCATCATCGGCTTGCTGCTGAAGAACCTGGATCTTGCGCTTCACCGCCTCGATGGTGGTGATCCCGGCCATACTGCCCACCCAGCTGCCTCTGTCTCAGCCCCTGCCTCCTCAGTCCGGCGCTGCAGCCGCTTCTCGCCCCTGCTTCCGCCTGGTCCGTCTTGAAATACCGGAACTCCCCACCCGCCGGAAGTGACGTCACCTCCCCGCCCACTGCCAGGCCGGCGGGAAGGAGAGCCCGCTAGGCCGCCCCAGGCGACCGCTCCTGCCCCGCTTTTCCTCCGGCAGTAAACAGGGGTGCGCTTGGGAAAACGGACAGCTGCCCTGGTAACGGGGAGGCGCTTCAAGGTCCGGCTTGTTGGGCCAGGCAGGTGGCGCACAATGACTGGCCCGTTCTCAAGTGTCACGCTGCCTGTTACGCTCTCGCGTTTACCCTGCCTTCCCGCCCCGCTCATCCGCGGGCCGGCACGCTGTGTCGTGCGCCCTACACACCTTACACGCTCGGCTTCCACGCACCCCGCCAGACTCCAAAACAAGGTCTAGGAAAAGCCTAGGAGACTTCGGGGATTCAGTATTTCAAAGACCCTCACTCTAGCTCCTATCAAAACCTACTCAGGCAGATTCTTCCATCTCCTGGGAGTCAACGGAGGGAGCTACCTCGGTGGAAGAAAGGCAAGTGGGGCAAGCTCTCATTCTGCTTAGCATCAGTTATAAACTAAGTGCTCTGTTTAGAATACCAGCCTGCCTCAGTCATTCCCCACCATCACCACCACCCTCGGTACTGTGGATTGAACCCAGGGTCGCCCCATCACTGAGCTGCATCCCGGCCCTTTCTTAACAATTTTATTTTGAGGGGCGGGGACCCAGCTCAGTGGTGCCGCCGCCTGCCTCGCAAGCGCAAGGTCCAGAATTCGATCCCCGGTACCACAAAAAAAAAATTTTATTTTGAGACAAGGTCTTACTAAATTGCCCAGCCTGACCTTGAACTTGTGATCCTACTGCCACAGCCTTCCCAGTATCTGGGGTTACAGGTGTGCAGTCCTTATTTGAGAGTCAGTATGCCTCATACATTAACCTCCCAGCCCCTTCAAACCTTGGAGTGATTCAGATCTTAGTAATTCAAACATCACTTACAGCTAGGCGTGGTGGTGCACGCCTGTAAACCCAGCACTCGGGAGGCTGAGGCAGGAAGATCTCAGCGAATTCAAGGCCAGCCTGGGCTACATAGTTCAAGACTAGCCTGAGACAAAAAACAAAACAAGCATCACTTACAATCCCACTTGTGGATGAGTAAAATGCCGGAATTTTATCTGGGAAAGAGTCCTGATTACAGATTCCTGACACCGGATCCTTTGTGAAACAAGATAGGAGTGCCTGGAAGACTACTGTGGAATTGAACCTCCATCCTGTTATGATTTTCAACAATTTCACTCCCACTTGTGCCTCAGGGGACTATTTATGAGTTAAAAACTGCTCCTAAGAGCCCGGGATTTAGCTCAGTGGTTTCACCTGCCTGCTGCACAAGTGTAAGGACCAGAGTTGGATCCCCAGTACCAACAAAAAAACCCTGTTCCTAAATGGGAAGAAAATGTTCAAATGAGAAGGGGAACAGGGGAGGGAGGAGGAGAAAGAAAAGGAAGAACAACAACAAAAAAGAGACTGGAAGGAAAAATGGAAACAAAGCTTTTGTAAATAAGGAGGGAAAGGGGTGGGGGATGGGGAAAAAGAAGAAGCTCTATATATCATGTACAGGTAAAATTCCCTATGACGAATGTTGTCATGTATATCTAAATTGTATTGCTTCAAATAAAACAGAAAAGAAAAGAGAAAGAAAGAGAGAAAAGAAAAGGAAACTCCTCCCTCCTCCTACTGGCATACCATGCAGGATTTCTGGAAGCACAATGGTAAGAGATTTAAACTTTCTGTCTTCCCTCTACTCTGTATCCCTCCACCTTCACAGTGAGTAATAAAGACATTTCTCCCTGGTGCAGCTCTCCTTTCCCTTAGAGAATTAGGATGTATAACAGGACCTAGAATTAAGACTCCTGGCCCCAAAGTGTTAGTGGGACCAAGGCGGTCACTGCTCTCAAGGTCTGGTCTGGTCCCTAGGATGAGCCCTCCAGAGGTGTTTCTTCCTCTCACTGGAAATCCTGAGCAATGAAAGTATTTTAGAGAAACAGCCTGGGCAAATACTCCTCTCCGTAACCTGTCGGGGCCGGGGATTTAGCTCAGTGGCACTGCGCCTGCCTTGAAAGCATAAGGTCCTGCGTTTGATCCCCGGTACCAAAAAAAAAAAAAGAATTGGGAGGGGAGAGCAGAGTTCTGGCTCAGTAAACTCTGCCCTCACGGCCTAATTTTTTTTTTTTTACGGCCTAAAATTTTTTCCAAATTATTCTGAGATCTTAGGGAGGGACTGTGGGGTGAGATTTCATTATCCAGGTACTGATCAGCAGAGGGCACTACTGCACCTCCCCAGCCCGAGAAGAGCAGAAGACCTCACAGACCAAAGGGGCTCGAAAAACACCGGCATTCCTGAGGCCCGTAGGTTTGGACAATCTTCTCTTCATCCAGAGACCGGTGGGATGACTCCTGAGAGTCTAGAAGCATGGAGAGGCAGCCAGGGACCCAGAGCTATTGTTTTCCTGGTGACAAACAATGCAATACAATATATCAACAGGTGAGATCTCCGGCCCTGTCCTTTCTCACCATCCCTCCCAACCCCTGTTCTTTGAAAGGGTGCTATGGTGAAAAGGAAAAAATGGAAGCAAAGTCTTTGTAAATACAGAGGAGCAGAGGGGTTGAAGGGAGCACAGGGAATGGGGAAAAAATAAGCAAGATACATTATGTACAGGTACAAATTCCCAATGATGAATGTCATCATATTGTATACCTAACATGTACCAATAAACTTAATGAGAACAAATATAAAAATATATAGGCCAGGGATTTAGCTCAGTGGTGCCGCTGCCTGCCTCCCAAGCACAAGGTCCCGAGTTCGATCCCCAGTACCAAAAACTGACAATAATAATAAAACAAAAACTAAAATAAAATGGTGCTATGCTGTGACTTCTGTGTCCTAACCTTTGTACTCCATATCCCCTTGTTTCTCTCTAAACAGCTTCTGACTCCCTCTCAGATTCAGAGGACCTTCGATGTGGCTGCACAACACTGTGACTATCTGCTCACTGCCACTGGATTGTAGCATGGAGCTACCTCCATTTCAACCACGGTTAAGGGCGCAGTGTGTTGCTGGTACTGGGCATTGAACTCAGTGCCACTGAGCTACATCCCCAGATCCCCTCCTTTTTTTTGAGAGTATCCGTAAGTTGCCCCATTTGGCCCTGAATTTTGCTCTTCCTACCTTAGTTCCCTCATAGCTAGGATACATTGCCATGCCTGCCTCATGTATGATAATATTAGACAAGCCCAGGGAAGAAAAAATGTTTTGAACCACCAGCTGTGGTGGTCCACACCTGTAATCTCAGCACTTAGGAGCCTGAGGCAGGAGGATCGCCATGAGTTTGAGGCTGGCCAGCCTGGGCTACACAGCAAGTCCTTGTCTTAAAAAAAAGTTCAGAATGACCTTGCCATATCTTGCCCTTTCTTTGTTTAGACAGTGCTGGCAAGTCCTACGTTTTCATAAAAGCTTCTCAGATAATCAGAACTGCCTGTGTAAACATCCAGTTAGTTGCTGACTCCCTCTGCCCTCTCTTCCCCTTACAGCTTTTTGCTTCTTTATTAATTCAAAGACAAAAGCTGAGCTGTCCACTTCCTTTGTGCTGGACAGAGTACGCTCCCCACAAAGATCTGCTGCAGACCTTTCTGACCTACTCCTTTTTACTCAGCATTTTCCTCAGTTACTATAAATACTTCCCTTTCCTGGGGCCAGCAAGTGTTTTTCTTTTTTTTTCTTTTGGTACAGGGGATCGAACTGGGGACCTTGCGCTTGCAAGGCAGGCGCCGGAACCACTGAGCTAAATCTCCGGCCCCAGCAAGTGTTTTTCAAAGCTTACTATCTAGTAAGTATTTCTGGCTTTGCTAGGCATAGGGTCTCTGTGGACCTACTCTATTGTAAGGAGAAAGTAGACAATGTGTGAGTGAATGAGCCTAACCGTGCTCCAGTAAACTTTATGTACAAACGCAGGCCAGGGCAGGATTCGTGCCACCGTGGTGACTTACGGGGGAAGAAACCTTTCTTCTTGCTTCCATCTAACCTGGCCAACAGACCTTGGCCATGGTCTTGTGCTCCTGCTTCTAGATCTTGTCTGTATCTCCAAAGATGCTTACTGATTTGGCAAGAAAACTAACAAAGGCGAGAATAGTTAAATGAGTTATTTTTATTTTTTTTTAGTATCGAGGATCAAACTTGCCAGGCAGGTGAGGTGCCACTGAGCTATATCCCTGGCACAAATGAATTTTTTTTTTTTGTACCAGGGATCAAACCCGGGTCCTTGTGCTTGCCAGGCAGGAGCCAGAACCACTGAGCTAAATACCCGGCCCACAAATGAATTATTATTTTTTGGGGGTACTGGGGATTGAACTCGGGACCTTGTGCTTGCGAGGCAGGCAGCAGAACCACTGAGCTAAATCCCCAGCCCCCTACAAATGAATTATTTTTAAAACCAACATTTTACATCTTTAATGGTTTTTGGTAGATTCCTGTATAAATATGAGGAAGCTTCTTCCACATGAATGAGGACACCATGTTTGTGTAAAATATCTTAGAACAGACAAAATTTGTCCCCAGCAAATTTTTCTTTAATTTTTTTTATTTTTATTTTTCGGTACCAGGGATCGAACTTGGGACCCTGTGCTTGCGAGGCAGGCAGCTGCACCACTAGGCTAAATCCCTGGCCTTTTTCTTTTTTTTAGACAAGGTCTTGCTCTGTAATTCAGGCTGGCCTTGAACTCATTATGTAGCCCGGACTGGCCTTGAATTTCAGAGCCTCCTGCCTCAGCCTCTCCATTGCTGAGATTATAGGCATGTAGCACCATGCATAGCTAGACTTTTTTGTTCTTAGTATATGTGCTGCCAAAGCGCGCACAAGACTTTTTTGTTCTTTTTGTTGTCCCTGGAACATGTCTCCTCAAATCTGATACTGTTTCAGCCTCAAGACCTTCCCAGGAAGTTGTTTCCCAACGCCTCACAGAGTTTTCCCTAACCTGACACTACTCATTTGTGAGGCCTGGCCACCTGCACCTAGAACCTAGGTACCTCCAGCAGGCTACTCAGCACTTACCCAGAGCCCTGCGCATAACTTACGGGTTTGGCTTATTAAGTTTTGGTTTTCTTTGTTGTTTGTTTTACAGTTTTCCAAGAAGGAAGAGTATCATTTTAAATGGCTGAAGTTTTGATAAACTGAGTGTATATAATGTGTATTATCCAGGTTGTGTTTCTAACCTCTGGTTTCATATATTCAAATTTGTCACTTCCCTGAGCCATTGAAGGTGATGGAAAACCAAAGAGAAAATCGAAAACCTGATGCCAGACAGACTGTAAGAACCCCGTGTTTGTGAATGGCCTACTTGGTCCTAGCTGTTTTCCAAAACCAAATATGACTTCGAGCTCAGGCTCAGGGCCCTGTTTTCCATTAGCTCTGCTCGCTGAGAAGCGACCATTCTCACTTGCACAGGGCTGTGCTTTTGCTGCTATCTATTCCCATGGATAGGGCCGGGGATTTAGCTCAGTGGTTTCGCAGCCTGCTGCGCAAGTGCAAAGACCCGAGTTCGATCCCCGGTACCAAACAAAACAAAACGAAAAGATTCCCATGGGGAGCTGGGCCCACGCCTGTGATCCCAGCACGTGGGAGGATTGTCAAGAATTTGAGGCCAGCCTGGGCTACACAGTGAGTTCAAATCCAGTCTGAACTACACAGACCTTGCTTCAAAAAAAATAAAAATATTCCTATGGTAATTTTTTTCCTCCAATACTTTCCTATCTAGTCTCTCAGTAATCTTTGAAGAAAATTTCTTTCTTTTTTTTTTTTTTTTAAGAAAATTTCAAGGTTGAAGATGAAAGAAAGTAGGTGATTATAAGATAATATGCAGTGGGAAAAGCTATGTAGCCCAGGCTGGTTTCACACTCAATGCTCCTACTCAGGATTACAGGGCTGTGGTTATTTCATTTCCAGATGGAGAAACCAGCCCTACAGACACTGGGTAATTTACTTGAGGTCTGGTGCTAGGACTTTCACGCCTAAGTTTCCTTTTTAGTTTCCATTATAGTCCACTCTCCGGACCCCTCTGCTGCTCTATGAGTAGTGCTCCCTAGGTTATCTGCATGGCATAAAGGCAGATACCTACCTGGACCAACATAATAAACCCATATAGGGCCAGGGTGAGCGTGACCTCCATCTCATATTGTGAAATCTGAGCTAGCTTTGTGGGACAGTTGAGAGATGAGAGATTCCCTATTAATACACAAGTCCACATGCCAAACCTTGTACACAAAAGCTAAGAATGTGGCGTGGGGGAGGAGGTGGGATACATGATAGCAGTCTGGACTTAGAGCCCTCTCCCTTTGTCCAGGTTGTGAAAAAGATAAATTCCTGGGGTGGGGGATAAAAATGAGACGTCTGCGTGCCTGCTATTTATTTATTTTTATCTTGCAGTGCTGGGGATTGAACCCAGTTTCATGAATGCTAAGCAAATCCTGTACCACTGAGCTACAATTCCAGCTCCAGTGTGTGTTGTTTAGTGGGGGAAAGGGGGTCTGGAAATCCAAACTAGTACACTCTACCACTGGGCTACATTGCAACCTTTTAAAAAATTATTATTTTAGGGCCGGGGATTTAGCTCAGTGGTTTCGCTGCCTGCTGCACAAGTGCAAGGACCCGAGTTCGATCCCTGGTACTAAAAAAAGAAAGAAAAAATTATTATTTTATTTCAAGATAGGATCTTGCTAAGTTTCCTAGGGTGGGCTCAAGCTTGCCATCCTGTTTTAGCCTCCTGAGTAGTTGGGATTAAAGGCATACACCACTGCACCTGGCCTCAGCACGTCTTTGAGAAAGAAAACGTGTGCCATTGAGAGGGTATACCAGCATGTGCTTACATGCATCACGTATGGGGATATACATGTGTGTTCTGTGTACCGATGACAGTGTACTTGTCATGTCAAAGCATGTTTGGAGTGCAGTGTGAGAGGCAGATCTATGTGTGGATCAACCTGTCCCCCATCTCTCTTATACTCACATCAGCTGCTTTCTTCTCTGCAAGCTCCAGCTTCTCCTGGGCATCCTTCAAAGCTTCAGAGTATTTGTCCAGCTCATCTTCTGTCCCTTTCAGCTTCTTCTGCATGGCTGCTAGTTCATCTTCCAGCTATAGGAGCCCAAGAGTCACATACAAAGACACACAACACAGCCGTGTGGACTTGGACTCTGGCAGACCCGAGCCCTGTCGTCCCAGCCACTTTCTGCCCTCTGCTGTGGGAGCTATGCCATGGCTTGGACCTGTGACTCTTTAATCTCTGACCTTAACATGACCAAGCCATCGTGAGTTCTTATCCGGGACCCTGGGGCGGCAAGTATCTAAGGGTGCAGATGTTTGTGGCTGTATTTTAAAAAGACGGTGCACACTAAACTCTTACCGTGTCCTCTAGAAGGCAGGGGTTCTTTCCGAACATGGTCCACTTCAGATGCACTGTGGCCCAGGAGGGGCCACTGACTTTCCCAGGGTCATGTAGGGAGTCTGAGGTGGGCCCCCTAGATCCTCTATTAATCCATTGAGATCGGGGAGTCCCTCACACCCAAAGAAGCTGCTGACACTGGTGGCCCCTTGTTTCATGGAAAGACCCTTCTATCGCATGGTCCTGTTTGCCAGCACATGAGAGAGACCAGTGCCGGTGCCTACCTGTTTACTTCTTTCTTCTGCCTGTTTCTGCTCAGCCTCAGCTTGCTCTGCCCTATCGAGAGCGTTCTCCTTGTCCAGCTTCAGCATCTGCATCTTCTTCTTGATGGCCTCCATCATGGGCAGCGGCTGAGGGTGAGCTCACCTGTGGACACTGGACAGCTGGAGACCAGGGCGGCAAGGGAGGGGCTGTGCCTGAGTGCCCGAGCTCCCCAGACCCAGCCTTTATCTGTGCCCACAGCCCCACCTCGTATTCCAAATAAGGTCTTCCGAGCTCCCTCTACCCCATCATTGTTCTCCTGGCAGGACGCAGGGGTGGACACACTGATGGACTGACATCACCAGCAGAAAAAAAATGGGGGAACAGCTGAGGCTGATTTTAGACAAAAGAAAGCAGAGGAGGGAGAGGCTCTCCCTGCCCTTGAAACTTGCCACTCAATGTAAGCGGCTCTGTGGGTATTTGAGAAGCACAAAGACAGTGGCCAGCCGAGGCAGCATAGTGAGACCTCCTCTCAGAAACGAAACAAAGGTGCAAGGACAGGAGAGGGAAGAACACCGAAAAAGGAAGGGTACTTTGGCAATTCTAGACTGGCACTTTTCCTACAGAAGGTCCTGGTTGCCCTTCAGCTCCCTCCTTGCTCTCCCCTAGGCTGTGCTGGATGCTGACCAAACTCTACTGGTTGAGTTTCATCTCTTGATTCCAGGGAGCTGCAGCAACAGTGAAGGGGGGAGGTCAGTCGTGATCCGTGACAATCCCCCCAGATCCCCAGATCAAATTGCTGTGCTATTCTGGGAGTCTCTGATTGGCCTAGAGGTGTCATTCCTCTCCTGTAAGAGCCTTGCAAATAAGAGTAAGAGGGTAGGATTGGGATCTGGAAGGCTATCCTCGGGCATGAGTTATAGGGGACAGGTTAATCCAGATAAGATCATGCCCTCTGTTTTTTCATAGTGATCTTAAAATAGAACTTCTGTGCCTATGTGTATCAAGGCCTATGCAGTTCTCCACTCTGCTTTACACGCCCTCTTATCTTCTAACCATCATCGCCACCTCTATTCTCCCAGTTTAGTTCCAGGCCATGTTCATTTTTCCATTTGGTGCCTTGTTATTGACAGGTAGTCACTGATCCCCATCCACTGGTGCCAAGAATATGTCAGGGGAGAGGTGGGCACCGTTTAAGGTGACCGGAGCTATCAGGGAAGAATATAAATGATCCTAGTTAGTCATAATGTCAAGGCTAGTTAGTGTAAGCCTCAGCAATGTGAGAACTAAGACACCCGTCGGGCAGGGCTGAACAGAACTGGAGTCCGTTCATGAAAGCTTCTAGTCACAGGTTAGTAGCAGTGGATTAGTACTGGTAGACCACGAAGGTGGACCATCCGACTCAGGAAGGAAAGGAGAGAAATCAAAGGCCCCTGTCATGGAGACTATGCAGAGAAAGAGATCAGGGAACAGGAGAGTCCCAGGGAAAGGAGGCAGAGAATAAGATGATGGGGGAAAATACGAGAAGAGAAGGAAAAGAGACATATCCATTCTAGAATAAGGGGACAAGATACAGAAAGATTTGATCCCCAAATTCCACCTCTCCCACTTCCAGACCAGGTTAAGATCAAAATCCACATTAGGTTGCTGTAATGGTCCTTCAGGGGGTCCTGGAAAGAAGTGGTTCCGTACAAATGACAAGAGCCCCAAGGCTGGGGATTTAGCCCAGTGGTTTCGCCGCCTGCTGTGCAAGCACAAGGACCCAAGTTTGATCCCCGGTAACAAAGAGCCCCAGAGCCCCTGAAGTTGAGGTGGAAGAGCTGGTGGTGCTGAATCACCTCCTACTGTAAGAATATGTTTGACATTTAGTTGATTCCTAATTAAACAACCCAATATCAAACATATCACACAGAAGCAGGCAGGCAAGTGTGGTGTCATCTCCTTCCTCCTCACTGCCAAGAAAGGCCTGGCAGACTGCAGGGCCCTCTCAGGTCTGCGTGGAGGCAGATGCTTGGGCACTGACCCCTGCCCTTGGCTCTCACTCATCTGCCTCTGTGCCATCCCTGCCTCCGCCTCTGCAGCTGGTCCCTGGCCTTGGCTGGGCCACGTTGGCCTGGAGCAGAAACTGCCGGGCAGAGCTCCACATCCGGGCACCCACCGTTCCCCATGGCTCCCCATGAAGCTCTGCCTCTTACATCACGTACTCGGTGCCCAGAGGATCAGCCGTGTCAGCAGCTTCTCACAGCTTTGCCACCTGCTGTCTTCGATGCCATTCCAGCAGCCCAAGGCTTCCGGCATGGAGTGGGAGGTATGCATGTCCTGCTTTACTTTTCCAGCGGATTCCTAACCTTGCCAATATGCCTCCCACCTCAGCACCCACGGCTGTTAGGTGCCACCCATAAGTGGCATGAGGAGTTTGGGATGCTGACTTTCTTCTTTCTTCCCTCGTGTCATGTCTCACCTTTCCCCTAGTCCTCCAGGCACCCTCTGTGCAGTCACCATCAGATGTGCAGGACAGGGGAACGTGCTGTCTCCTCAGCAGACTCCAGCCTTGCTTCAGAAGACGAGATCCATGGTCTCTCCTGCCTGGCAGGATTGAAACCAAGGCTCTAGACTGAGGGTGAGAGAGGGAACTCCCTCTACCAGAGAGCTGGCTGCAGTCTTTAGACTCCCCTTCTCTTCTGGGGCTTTCCAGGAAAGCGTCCCAGCTGGCGTCTCCAAGGGTGTCTCTCACAGCACTCCAGCCTGGTTCCCTTCTCGGGCTTTTCCTTCAGAGAGAATTGGGTCTTTTGGACAGCATGTGGAAGGCAGATCCTTCCCTCCCCGGGACAGAAAGGAGCCCGAGTTATAGCTGTGCTGGGGCTGGGGGGCTTCTGTGGGAGTGTGGATGGGAGGAGGGCACTGCTTCAGCCTCAGGCCTGTTCCCTGTGTCCTTGTTCCCATTGTCCTGATGCCAACACCCTCCCCCATGCCCCAGCCCGCACTGACCTTGATCTAGGTGGATCGATAGCTTAGCCCAAGCCCCAGTCAGTTCCTGTTGTGCGGCTCTTTCCTCCCAGGGAAAGCCTGACAAATGGGGATGCAGGACCCAAGGTAGGACGCTTGCTGGTGGACTGTGCCTTTATTTTTATGGTCCACAAAGAGGATGTGTGTGTGTGCATAATCTTTACCTTCTTGCCCTCCCTTCTTATCCTTAACTCCCCAAGTTCTGGTTCCCTCCTCTGAGAACTTGACCACACTGGGGAACCGTGGCTGGAAAGGGGCCCACCAGGAATTGAACACTTTTCTGTGTGCAGCCCTGGGGGAGCAGAGGCAGACTGGGAGTATCGGTGTGGTGCAGGAAGAGCGGCTCTCTGGGAAGGAGACACCACAGAACTGTCCAGACATTGCAGGGCCTCTGATGACAGCCTTCTGGCTCTCCTGGAAGTTCTTCCTAGGGGGCCACTGCAAGCAGCACAGAGCCCTTCCGAGCCACAGAAGTGGGTAAGGTGTTGGCCATAGAGGGGAGCAGGCCTGCCCCCACATGCCATCCAACAGACTCGATTCTCTCTGAGCATGGGCTGATGTGATATGAGCAGACAGGGTGTGCACAGGCCTGGGAAGATGGGCTCTGTGGGGCCGACCTGCCAATACTGGAGCCAGCTCAGCAGTGACAAGCCCTGGGGTAAAGGGCCAAGGTCAGGGCTCAGGCGGAGGGATGGGGCACCCCGAGCCCAGATGAACAGCGCGAAGAGGAAGAGAAAAACAGAAGAGGTTGGCAAAGGGGGATGGTTGGAGGTAGGGGCATCCAGATGATGCAGTGAAAATGAGGAGGGGAAAGCTATCCTAGGGGCAGGAAAGCATCATTTGGGTCAGCACAACGGACACTAGTGCAGCTCTCTCTGTACACTTTACTTAATCCCACAGTGACTCAGTGAGGTAGGCATGACTCCCAGTTTACATAGAAGGAACTATAACCCAGAAAATCAGAATAACTGTTACAAGGCCACACGGCCAGTGAGTGAGTGATGGAGCCAGGATTGAAACCTAGCACTAAAGCTGTCCTCTTAACTGGAGGTGATACCACCACGAGTAAAAAGCAGAAGGTGGCTGGGGAGACAAATAAAAGGGAATATGAAAGAAGGGAAATGAGATGGAACAGATCTTTGGGAGGAGAGGGCAGGAAAACAGACAGAAGGAATAAGAAACTCAGTCTTAGGGCTAGGGTCAAATCCAGACCATGTGTGTATAGTTTGTCTCCTATAGAACACATCGTTCCAGGCAGGGTGGTGCACATCTGTAACCCTAGCACTCAGGAGCCTGAGGCAGGAGGATTGCTGTGAGTTCAAAGCCAGCCTAGACTACATATCGAGTTCAAGGCCAGCATGAACTACATGGTGAGACCTTGTCTCAAAAAAAAGTTTTGTATCTGCCATTACTATTTAAGGCCTGTCTCCTTCACCAGCCTGCAAACTCTTTGTCTTCTTTGTCTTCTAATCAGTAGCTACTGACCAAAGATGAGGGTCAGCCAGGTGTGGTGCCACACACCCGTAACCCAGCTGTCAGGAGGTTGAGGCAGGAGGATTTTGAGTTTGAGACTAGCCAGGGCTACATAGCAAGTTCCAGGCCACCCTGCCTAGAAGTCTTACAAGACCCTGCCTCACAATTAAAAATAAAAAAGGACTGGGATGGGGTAATGGGAGCAAGTGAATGGCTATATGGAGCAGAGAGAGGTTGAGTATGGGGTGGAGAATGACACGTGGACCGAAGGAGGGGGCAGCAAGCAGGCACTGGGGTCACAGAGAAGTCTCCTGAGTGGGAAGCGGCTGTCTGCTGTGTTCCGAGCCCTGGCCTTGCTCCATCTACATTTTACTCATTTAAACCTCAAAATAATGCCAGATGGGTGTGGCTGTTCTTGGTTTTTTTTTTTTTTCAGAAGAGGAAATGAGGCTCAGATGGATCAAGCCATTTATATGCGACTCAGGGTTAAAGAGGTGGAGCCAGAAGTGAGTCCACACCAGACTGCAAGCCTGTGATCATCATATATATATTTGTTGTTTGTTTTGATTTCTGAGACAAGGTCTCGTGGTGTACTTCATCCTGGCCTGGAACTCACTTTGTCTTGAACTTATGGCAATCCTCCTGCCTCATGTTCTTCTTCTTTTTTTTTTTTGGTACTGGGGATCAAACTCAGGTCCCTGCACTTGTGCAGCAGACGGGGAAACCACTGAGCTAAATCCCCGGCCCTCATGTTCTTCTTTTTGTACCCTGCTGCCTCTAGGAGCTCTTGAGCAGAAGAGTGTTTAGGGGCAGAAGGAAGAAGCTCCGACAGCTAGGAGATGAAAAATGTGGGTTTCAGGAGGAGATGGAGATGAGTGAGCCACGAGGAGGCTGGGAGCAGGGGAAGAGACTTGGGTGGGGTTACAGGGGGGCACCCGAGAGTCCACTGCTGCTACTGGCTGCTCCGGTGTCACCTGTGTACAAAGTGGACCCTAAATAGCAAGGTTCCCTGTGGCCTATGGATGCACATGATCGATCAGCACTTTTCAGTATTCTGAATGCCTCAGGATGGAATGTTCTTTCTAGGGCCCACAAATGCTAGCAGTCATTTTCATACCTGCTATATCACCTGCCCGGTGCCCAGAGGTGTTTGAGTTTACAACCCTCCCACCTCTCTGGAGGGAGGAATTCAGGCCCAGCAGGAAGAGGTTTCTCCAAGGTTTCACAGTAACTGGATGACTCAAAGCCTAAAATCCAGGCTTCTGATACTCAAGCACCACAGTGCCTGTAGATTAACAGCTATATTCAAAGCTATTTGTCCGTGCAGAAAAGATTAGTGAAAGAGAGCTTTGAGAAGTGGAATGTAAAATCCAGGAAGTTAGGAACAAATCAGGGGTAAGGGCTGAGAGAATGGGCCATGTGGTCTGAGTATGATCCTTATATAAGCTGTAATTTTATTTGTTAAAACAAAGCAGGATTTTTGTCTGTCACATTGCCCATCCGCTCCCCTGCCACAGCAACACTGCATATCTCAGACTGACCACAAGGTGTCACTTTTGTTTCCATCAGTTTTTCCTGGGTGGTTTCCTAAATGCCAGGGGGGCTGGTAGGAGAGTGAAGAGGCCAGCATTGTCATTTGGGGAGGGTAGTTCAAGGCGGCAGGCCTCAGTGAGGCTTGACTGACAGGTGCTGAGGACGCAGGAGCAGTGTTTGGGAGGCCGTCAGAGTCTCTCCACGTAGAAAGCTTTGCCCATCCGATGTAGCTCCTGCTGGCACTGCTGATGCTCCTCCTCAAACAGCTGGCGCAGGGCAGCCTGGCGGACCTGCGGGGTGTGGGAGAGCGGTGCTGGGCCCTGTCTCTGCCCTTTGTCCCCCTCTTGCCCTGGTTGCTTTTCCATGACTTGGGCTTTCGTGGACCTGTTCTTAGCTGTAACATAAAGTCAAGCTGTAGCACAGGCTGGACCAGTGGAAGGGAAGCCTTTTCGATTTTTTCTCCATGAGTGGAGCCTCATATTCAGCAAATATTTCCTGAGGACAGGAATTCTGCTAGGCAGCAGGATACAAAGCTGGTGCCGAGATAGTAATCGGGACCCCAGGGAGAGGGACCTGGACAATGAGGCAGGTGGGAGGAGAGGTGCTTTAGGGGACTTTAAGGTGTGTCACTTGCACGCTTGATGCAGAGAATCACTTACTGAAAAAGAACTTCGGCACTGGCAGTGGAAGAGCTGTCTGGGAATAATGGGGAAAACCCTCATGGTAAAGGAGAGGGACAGACCCGGAGCTGGCAGCCCCAGCTGGCCAAGGCAAAGGCCTCCTGAACTCACCAGCAGCAGGTGTCGGTCAGCCAGCGCCAACTCCTCCTCCATGGTGCCCTGCAGCCGTAGGACAGCATACGGGTTTCTCCTCTGGCTCAGGGTCATCTGCCACATGCAGTGAGTATGTGAATTCTGCCACCTGCCCCAGGTATACAGAGGTGGGCATTGGACAGGCTGGAGTTAGCAGTGGAGATCAAAACCCCATCAGTGAGGCTCACTACTTACCCAGAGCCCTGTGGCATTATCAGAAGACTGCAAAACCCACAAGGGGACGTAGCTCAGGGGTACAGTGCTTGTGTAGGATGTGGGAGGGCATTCGAATCCCCAGGATGGAGATGAGAGGGGGTTGATAATTAACAGTGGATTTATCTATTTATGAGACAGGGTCTCCTGTAGTTCAGGCTGGCTTTGAACTCATGTGTAGCCCAGGCTGGACTTCAACTTGCAGCAATCCTCCTGCCTCAGCCTCCCAAGTACTGAGATTATAGGTGTGCACTGCCAGGCCCTGCACATCCCAGACATTTTAATCGGAATTCACTGAGGCGATATATGGACGAGCATTAGTGCTGAGAATTCTCTAGGGCTATCTGCATGTGAGGTAAGCCTCTGAACTGAGCTACAATGGGTAACCAAAGTATACAGTGAATGTTTAACAAAATTATTATAGTAAAAGACACATTGTTATTTCCCCTTTGCTTCAAACACTATTGCATTGTACTTGCCACTTTTTTGTTTTTTGAGACAGGGTCTCACTTATAATTCAGGATGGCCTCAAACTTGCAGTGATCCTCCTGCCTCAGCCTCCTGAGTGCTGGGATTATAGGCCTGTGCCACCATGCCCATCTTGTTCTTGCCACTCTCAGAAGCAGTTCTGGAAATCCTCTTGTGTCTTTATTAGGTGATCAAAAACATGGTGAATGCTGTTGCCATGCACCATCCAACAGAAAGGCATGTTCATAAAAACATGAGCATGTGTCCTCTTCCACTTTAGTTACTGGATCTGGAGCCACGAAACTTCTGGCTCCTCCCAAGAGTCACAATGACCATGAGGGCTCAATGTTTCAAATCAATTCAGGACTTACAGGGAGTCATAAGAGTGCAACTGAAGATGTGAGTGGAGACTTCCAACCTGCTCTAGAACGTGGCAAGAAGGGTGGGATCACTGTGTTTGAAGAACAGGGGAGTATTTTGGGTAATGAGTCTTACTATAATGAATTTAAAGGAATTTTTTACATTCACTATATATTCTTTTCATCACATTATATATGTCTCCAGCAACCCTATCAATGCTTTTTATTTTTTATTTTGGACACAGGATCACACTATGTAGTCCACACTGGCTTTGAGCTCATTGTTTAGCTCAGGCTGGCCTCAAACTCATGATCCTCCTGTCCCAGCCTCCCCAGTGCTGGGATTATAGGTGTGTGCCACCTGCCAAGCTTTTGTCAATTTTTCTTCTTTCTTTAAAAGCACAAGGCTAAACTGGGGGTGGTGGCACATGCCTGTAATCTTAGCTCTTTTTTTTCACTTTTTCTTTTTTTTTTTTTTTTGGTACCGGGGATCGAACTTGGGTCCTTGCACTTGCAGGGCAGGTGGTGGAACCAGTGAGCTAAATCCCTGGCCCTGTAATCTTAGAAACTTGGGAAGCTGAAATAAAAAAAGGGCTGAGATGTTGCTCTGTGGTAGATCTAACCCATACCACAAAAAAGGAAAGGTGTGCAGGCTGCAGGTATAGCTGCAGCAAATGCTTCTCACAGGAGGCAGTCTTCTGACTCCTTTCACTAAGTCCACAAACACAGCAATACCTATCATGTGGTGATTCCTTGGTTCACAAACTTAACTCGTTCTATGATTCTGGGAAAGGTGGCCAGTTTTCCCAATGTAGAGTTTGCAAACAAAAACAAATTTCTGCCAAATGCTTCTATTTGTGAACTAAATTGCTCACAAAAGTGTTTGTGAACCAAGATATCACTATAATTAGTACTAAGCTGGGCAAGAAATACTTGCATTTTCCTAAAAGCAAAAAACCTGCCTGGCATAGAGGTGCACACCTGTAATCCCAACTCTTGAGAGGCTGAGGCAGAAGGACTGCCACAAATTCATGGCCAGCTTGGACTATACAGCAAGACCCTGTCTCAAAAAACCCAAAACAAAGCTTGCTTCTATAAGAATGACGAACAGACGGAATAAATCCCTTATCTATTAGGCACAATGAGACTGCTCTTACCTGCTTTGAGGACAAGGCTGCTTCTTACCCCTTCCTGATGTTTCCCCTTTTTCATTCTGGTGGTACTGGGGGTTGAACCTAGACCCTCTGCACTGAGCTACATCCCTAACCACCCATCTTTATTTATTTTTATTTTTTATTTTTCCATCTTTATTTTTTAAGGCAAGCTCTCAGTAAGTTGCCCAGGCTAGGGTCCAATCTGTGGTCCTGCCCCAGTCTCCCAGAGTTCTGGGATTACAGGTGTGCACCACCATTCTCAGCTTTTCTCTTTTTGAGCCCCCAAGAGGAGAGCAGAGCTAGAGGAGGCTTAGGGACAGGAAAGTAGAAAGGTGGTGCTGAAAGGTGGGGAAGGGGTAGAAGCAGAGGTTACCTGTCAACCATCTTCTTAAGTCTCGAGGCCCTCTGCAAGGTCTGCAAGAGGAGGAGTTCTGTTATCCACCCGGCCTCCAAAACCTCCCTGCCACACCCTTCCTGCTGGGAGTCTCTAGACCTCTTCAGTTTCCTAGGGGAGGGAAGGAAGTGCCACTCTTTTTAGAATGGATCAAAGAAAGCAAGCATGCAGTTGGGGTGGAACACTTATAGACTAGATGTAGACTCCTGCTCCTGTTCCGAACTGTGCTGTTATAGCCAAAAGGAAAAAAAAAGGCACACTCCTGATAACTGACTCTGAAATCTCAAGGGAAACAAACTCCTCCAGCCTAGCCCCTCCTTGTAACGGTGTACCTCTTCTACTTTTGTCATCTTTTCTGGAGACATGTCTACAGCCTTGCTTGATAAAGCCTGAGAAGCCTGGGCAGGCACTCCGGTTTGGTTCAGTCACCAAGGTTTCTGTAGCCATAGCAACATGCAGGCCTCCAACAATGACCTCTGCCTAAGAGTTGATTGGTCACCTGGCCTTTTGCCCTGGAGACCTGAAGAGTATCTTGGTTCTGGCCCTCAGTTAGTGACACAGGCAAACCTATGAGGAAGAGCCACAGTCTGTTTCCAGACTGTCTGTTAGCGTCCCAGAGAGTATCTGTGAGACTGTAGGTCCGTCCTACCACTTCCTGGAGCCAACCCCTTATCTCTTGCACTAGTGATGACAGAAACAGCCTGCGGTGGCAAGCGTGCCACTGGTCACCACCCCTGCTCTCTGCCCTGCTGTAAAGAAAGTGCAGAAAGTATACTGTATTGTGCTTGTTTTACTAAAAGACAACTGTAAATCAATGAATCATATGCTTTATTTTTCTTTTTTTTTTTTTCCTTTGGTACCAGGGATCAAACTCGGGACCTTGTGCTTGCAAGGCAGGTGCTGGAACCACTGAGCTAAATCCCCTGCCATATGCTTTATTTTTCAACATTTCATTTTATTAAATAACTAATTTATAAAGTCAAACCAGTCCATCGGCTAATTAGGGGAAACCATGGCTTCACACGGATTCCTATCTTGGCACAGATTATGCCAGGTTTTTTTGTTTGTTTTGTATTTTTCGGTACCGGGGATCGAACTCAGGTCCTTGCGCTTGCGCAGCAGGCGGCGAAAGCCAGGTTTGTTTTTTTAAAAAAGACAGGGTCTACACTTCGGGCTGCCCTGAACTCACTATGTAGTCCAGGTTGCCTCTGAACTTGCAGCAATCCTCCTGCCTCAGCCTCCTGAGTGCTGGGACTGCAGGCATGCACCACACCTGGTCTACGCCAGGTCTTAGAACATTCTTATTTGACAAGAGAACTGAATGAGAGCAGGAGGGCAGATCCTGGCTCATCAGGAAAGTTGTGTTAATGTTACATGTCCTGGTGTACAGTGCAGCACCAGGATAAAGTGCTCCACACCACCTGCTTCCTTACCCCTCTCCCCACCAGTTGTCTTCTTTTTTTGGTACTGGGGATTGAACTCGGGTCCTTGCACTTGCGAGGCAGGTGGGGTAAATCCCCGTCCCCATCGGCTTTGTTTTGAAGTCACTTTTTTGTGTGTGTGGCTCAAGCTGGCCTTGAGTTTGCTATGTAGCCAAGGCTGCCCTTGAACTAAAGTCCTCCTGCCTGACTCCTGCCTGCTGGGTCACAGGTGTGAGCCACCACACCTGGCACCCTATCTGCTTTCACCACCAAGCAGTGACCCTAAGACACCCTAAAGGCAAACAGTTCCCTCAACTGAGTATGACAGGGTAGATGTGGAAGATGCCTCACCTCAATGTTCACCTTTGAGATTAAGCAGCCTGGAACAGGGTGGGTAAACTCTGACCAAAAATATGGGAAAAACTTTAAGGTAGGTTTGACAATAACCTACTAAGAATGCCATCTGAATTTAAATCCACAAAAAAGTGCTATTGTGGGAAAATTAAGTCTCAGCTAATGTTCTGAAAATGCCATAAGGAAAGGTGGGGTGAGCCTCAGGAATGGGGCTCTGGCGGCTGAGCCACATGGCCCCCACACCCCCATGCAGGGCAACTTGCAGAGGGCACCGCCTGGCTCAGTCTGCAGCGAGTCCTCCCTCTGCCCCATCACAGAGTACTCTCCAGTGTGTTGTAGTTGTCCTTGAAGCTCTTCAATTCCAGAAAGTGCTTGGCGCGCTTGCTCTTCTGACTGGAGGGGAGGTATGTCACCTGGATGGTCGTAGGGGAGACCTCAGGGGACTGAGTCAGGTCTTTGGCGGCTGACTGGTGTTGTCGCTGAGAGCTCCCAATTCGTGCTTTGACCCTAAGAATACAGACGGGCAGTTATGAACAGGCTTATCCAACTCCATAAATGCTGCCTCAGTGTCCCACCCAATAGCATGGAAATAGCAGGGAAACTAATTTCCCACTGAGTTCTCATTTCTGGCACGAGCTTTCCTTTATTACATGATGGTTTAGCTCTACTGACTCACCCAGTGTAAGTGGTTAACATATCCCCAGTCTGAACAGCCCTGAAAACTGCTTACTAAAAAATAGTGTTACAACATTACACTTGGTGGTTTACTGGTATGTAACTGACCAACATTCTCAGCACCCGCTATGCTGTTTTTTTTTTTTGTTTTTTTTTTGGTACCAGGGATTGAACTCAGGACCTTGGGCTTGCAAGGCAGGCGGCGGCACCACTGAGCTACATCCCCAGGGGGGCCCATACTGGTTTTTGCAGGATAGGACACTTATGGAGTCACAAAGGTAGAAAGAAGACTGAGACTCAAACTCAACTATGTCAGGTTTCAAAGCCTGTACTCCTTCACCACACCCACCGAACACTCCAAGAAACCAAAGAAACAGCCGAGAGTGGTGGCGCACACCTGCAGCCCCAGCACTCGGGGAGGCGGAGGCACGATGACGTCTGCAAGTTTCTGGCCATCTGAGCTACACTGTGAGTTCAAGGCCAGCCTGAACTACATAGTGAGGCCGTCTCAATAAAAAAAAAAAAAATGTTTCAGTGGTACTAGAAATTAATTCAGGGTCTTACACATGCTCTGCAAGTATTCTACCACTGAGCTACATCACCATCCCTTTATATTTTTATTTTGGCACCAGGGATTGAACTCGGGTCCCTGGACTTGCGAGGCAGGCATCGGAAGCACCCGGCCTGGCCTTTATATTTTTATTAGAGGTAGGGTCTCACAGGTACCCAGGCTCGTCTCAAACGTGTAATCCCTGTGCCTCAATCTGCCAAGTGGCTGTAATTTTAGGGGCTGCACCACTGCAACCAGAGAAAGTTACTTACTTATTTTGGTTTTTTGAGACAGGGTCTTGCTATGTAGCTCAGGCTGGCCTTGAGCTCACTATGTAGCCCAGGCTAGCCTCAAACTCATGGTAATCCTCCTGCCTCAGGCTCTGGAGTGCTAGGATTTACTAGAGCTAGAGCATGCCTGGCCCAGAGAAAGTTATTTTTCAAAAGTGTAATAAAATTCACATGATACAATATTTATTATCTTAGACTTTTAAAAATGCATGTATCAGAGCTGGGTTGGTGGTACACATCAGTAATTCCAGCAGTTGGGAGGCTGAGGCAGGAGGACTGCCAAAAGTTCGAGGCCTGCCTGGGCTACACAGTGAGTTCAAGACCATCCTGCATTACAGAAGGAGATCCTGTCTTCAAAAGAAGGGGGACACATCAGTAGCGTTAGGCGCAGCCACCCTGTCATGCATCCAACCTCCAGAATGTTGGGATTATTGGCGCAGGCTACCATGCTTGACTTCACGAGGACTTTCTGTCTTTAGGAACAAGCTAATTCATTTGCAGTGACAGAGAGAAGACAGGAAAGACTTAACTCTTGTCACCTGTGACAGCCGTAATGAACATAACAGAAAAGAGATCCTTTTTTTTTTTTTTTGGTACCAGGGATCGAACTCAGGATCTTGTGCTTGGAAGGCAGGCGGCAGAACCACTGAGCTAAATCCCCAGCCCCAGATGCATTCTTTTCATGGATGATAACTAATTTTTCTTTTAAAAATGGTAAACACTTTATTTATTTATTTTGAGACAGGGTCTTGCTATGTGGTCCAGGCTGACCGCATACTCACAGACATCCCCTGCCTCAGCCTCCTGACTGCTGGGACTGCAGGGGTGCGGCACCATGCCTGGTAAGGTCAGTACTTTTTAGTTTTAGATTGGCCTTTCTTTCTCACTGAGCGCTGTCATTTTAAGATCTGCATAAGCAATCTAATGAATATTTAAATTGAATATTTAAATTGATCAGATATCTAAAACATTCCCAAACAAAAGTGATTCTACTCCTACAGACAAGTGCTCAAAAGCTAAGTGATGCCTTTCATTTCAGACAGGATGACAACACTTTTAGTAGTAAAACTGGGTGGCATTTAATTCTTTTATTTTCAGGCTTATTATTATTTTGAGATAGGTTCTTGCTATGTAGTTCAGGCTGGCCTTGAACTCACTATGTAGCCCAGTCTGGCCTCAAACTAGTAATCCTCCTGGCTCAGCCTCCTGAGTGCTGGGATCATAGGTGTGCACCATCACACCTGGTCAATTCTGATTTGTATCAGAACAAGACACAGAGGACCTTGAAACTGAAAAATTCTTTTATTTTTGGTACTGCGGATCGAACTCAGGACCCTGCGCTTGCGAGGTAGGCTGCAGAACCACTGAGCTAAATCCACAGCAAGAAATTCTTATTTATTTATTTATTTTTTGGTACCAGAGATCGAACTCGGGTCCTTGTGCTTGTGGGGCAGGCAGCGGAACCACTGAGCTAAATCCCTGGTCACAGCAAGAAATTCTTATATGCTCAAAAATTTTATTGTTTGCTAGGTTATGCCAATCTTGACATTTTATTGGGCTAGACAAAAAATGCATACAAAGTAAAAAGACACACACAAAGCCTCTATGCTTAGCTCATATGCCAGGCTCTCATTCTTTTTCTTTTTCACACATACTAGAGACCCAGGGTCTTTGCACTGAGCTATGTTCCCAGGCCTTTTAAAATTCTGAGACAAGATCTTAATTGCCCAGCCTGGGCTCCAACCTGAGATCTTCCTGCCTCAGCTGCCCAGAGTGCTAGGATCACAGGTGTGCGCCACCACGCTTGGCACATGTGCTAATGGGGGCCGGAGACAGTGCTAACAGTCTAGAAGTTTGTGACAGTCCAGATTTTGTTCACACTGCCTTAGGAAGGTCATTTCACTGCAGGACAGTGCAGGACCTCTAAATCCTCTAACCAGCCCCTCTGACAGGTTTCCTTGCAAACTCACACAGTGGCCAGCTCACTCAGGGCCTCCTGATAGCGCAGGTACTCACTTTGGCCAAAGACCTTAGGAAAGAGAAAGGAAGAGTGAGGATCATAGTCCAGTCTATCCCTTTAGTTCCTGAAGGAAAAACTAGCCATCCACTTACTCCTGTGCCATAGCGGGCTGTCTCATAACCATCCAGCAGGGTGTCAATGAGGGCCTTGCGCACACCCTTGAAAGGAGTGCTAGTGTTTCGCAGATCTAGCAAGTAGGAGCGGAAATTCTTGCCCATTAAGGAACGAGGATGCCGGCCTTCAGCATGAAATGGGATCTCTGAGGAGACAGTGGCATAATGACACCTTTTCCCAGGGTTTACCCTTTCTAGTTAATTTCCCCACTTAAGACATAGGTCTAATAAAATCAGTTAGAGGTAAGTTAAAATAGAATTAAGACCAGTTGTGCCCAAGTAGTCACACAAATGTAAGCTATGCCAATGACACAATATACCATTAGTATCCTTTTTACTATCCTCCTTCCCCATCCTGGCTTTAAGATGGAAATGATGTTTTGGCAGAGCTAAAGCATACTTGAAAAGTGGTCACAGAATGGGAAAAAAAACAAGAACCCTCTCTCTTGAGTTTAATGAAAAAACAGAAGTTACAGTCTTTTGTGCCAAGAAAGTAAATTACCGACTCGTGAAACTATAGGTCTCAAGAGAAGAACCTTAAAAATCAGAAACAAAACCCTTCAGACTCTGGAAAAGAAACAATCTGTCTACATCATCCCTTTAGGCAAGAGTAGCCAGTACTCTCAGAACTCCAGGAAATTCCAGCTAGCCAGGGATGCAGAATACCCTAACATACTAAATGGGTTCATCACTGTTCCCAGGGCAAATTTTTTTAGGATCCTAGGATAGACCCGATCAGCTGGCCCTTACCAGAGGCACGGATGGCATCCAAAGCTTTCATCCTATACAGATAGTTGTAGCAACCTGTTGAGAAAAAGGCTAGTCTCAGACATCACCTTCCAAAGATCCCCCAAGCTCCTCCCTAATATGCTGCCTCCCTGCATCTAACACACATCCAGTAACCGAGGAACAAGTAGGTCTCTGAACAGCTGACAATTCTGAAAGCGAAGGGATTCCGAACCCGTGGGACTCCTCACGAAGACACCTCCAAGAGCTTGCCACATACTTTGATTTCCCTGGGTTTCCAGCTGTAGCAGCCTTGTGTCATCATCTGCAAGGAGCTGTGGTTCATACTTGATATCCTGGACCCTGGATAGTCGAGTATCAATCTCCTCTTTCAAGTCCTGTGCACGCAGAGAAAAGAATACACCATCATTTACCCTATATGGTGCATGCCCCAACCTGGAAATAGGGCAGAACATGTGAATAACTAAGACAAAGATGAAAAAACACTTGTGTAACCAATGAAGTAACTTGGCAAGATGCAGGAGTTTAGTAAGAATAGATTTGGATTTTTTGGGGGGGGGGTACTGGGGATCAACAAACTCAGGACCTTATGCTTGTGAGGCAGGTGGGGTGCCACTAAGCTATATCCCGGCCCTAGGTTTGGATTCTTTATTTTTTGTGCCAGGGATCGAACTCGAGACCTTGCACTTGTACAGCAGGCGGTGAAACCACTGAGCTAAATCCCTAGCCCCTGACACAAATTTTTTAACATTTAATTGAGTATTTACAATGTGTTTCTCTCTTTTTTTTTTTTTTGGTGTGTGTGTGTGTGTTTCTCTCTTCTAATAGACTAAGCTTCAAGAATACTGGTATTAGGGCTGGGGATTTAGCTTAGTGGTTCTAGTGCTTGCCTCGAAAGTGCAAGGTCCCAGG